TTAGAGCTAGTGTTTAATATCAATAATAGAGCCCACCACCTCAGTCCGAGATTGGGGACGGCCGACAAGCGAGTGTGCTGACATCAGGATTACTTCCCAGAAGATGACTCAGTATTTTGACCGAGTGTCAGGGGATAACAAGATCTCCCTGAATGGTTTAGGTCTCTAGGAGCCACTCGCCACATCGGCTTTAAAGACTTCACTAAGGGAGGGGATGCCTAGGCTCTAGTGGTCTTCTTAAGTGACATAAAAAGTACGTATTCTCAAGTATCTGTACCCAGAATCGACTTTTAATAGTTGGACGATGTTCAGAAGCTAGACTGCCTGCCAAGGCTATCGGTTCAACAACTGTCACGCTAGGAGAATGAAGGGTTCTTCGAGATACGCTAGTTCTAGTCACACTATTGAACCTAAACTCGCCGTTGTCACACTAGCTTCCGCCATACAGCCGTTCCGAGCAGAAACTCTATTGGGATCTTATCTGCTCAACGGGCGGCCATTTACAGGTTTAAGGTAATGATTCGCACTTCAGCATTGTTGTCCCAAAACTTTGCCCTAGTTTCGCTTAAGTAGACTCCTTTGGGCATTGATCCTTGCCCGAGGCTTGTTTGCGAGCGATATTTTTGCTGCCCTTGACCAATTTGTAGACACGTGGAGTCGCGAACCAATCTCCAGACTCCAGTTTCCTCCCGCGGTTATGGAAGGAAGCGAGCCAGAGTGGTGTCGACCTCGTGCCAGCAGCAATCACCCGTATCCGGATCGCGCTCCCATGGGTCTGGATCCTTCTAAGGTAGGTTGCATACGGAACGCTACTGCGTCTTAGACTTTTGTGTTTGAAGGTTGTCATACGACTTCGAACCTTAGTCACAATATCACATTTACGAGCACGCGGTCATTAGAGCACGCCTAGACGAGAAGATCCATGTCGATGACACCAGGTATGGACACTTAGAAGGGAAGAAGAAGGCACGGGAAGGGGATATTATGCTCTGGGTAGGCCTTCAAAGTAAAATCATGCCTAGCCAGATCTGATAAATATGACTAACGGGCATCAATTGTCAATAGCCTCGATTAAGCAGAGAGGCCACGGTCAAACCCTCGTAAATCAAAAAATTATCAGAGAGAGAAGTGTCCCATGATTACTGCTCATCCAGACGAGGATTCTTTTTGATACTATGAAATACATAGCTCACAGCCTTGGGGTCTTCCACTTGTGGCATGGCATGACGGCCCTTGGCCACCCAATTCGGTGCTCAAACAGCGTCCCTGGCATATTGGGATGCCGACGAGTGGGACGTTCTGTCGAGTATGTCAAATCCATCAATGTCTTTCCCAAGTATCTCACATGTGGTACACACGTTGGTGCCTGGTATGCCCCATCAACTACTGTGTATGCGGGCAATAATTCCCAATACTCCGGACACAAATCAGCTCTTTCCAGACTGGGGTCCTTCCCAAAGCCCTGTCGACAACATGGAAGCCATGCGGACTGTCGAGTTCTCGACCAACTAGTAGGAGAGTTCTCCTAGGCGCAGACGTAAGTCGCTTCATCACTTTGCTCGCCTGTTACGTCGCATCGTCCCACATCGGTCGAGACAAGTATCCGTACGGGTAGCTGCGTGCACCACATGTCGTCGATATCTGAGCTTCCACTCGACGACGTTGCCATCGACGCCTCTTTGATGGGCCGTTTTCCCACGCAATCCAACAACCGTTGAAAAATCATAACCCGCCACTATCACTGGTCCAGTCCAATTCGGTCCCCTTGCTCGTATGAACAGGGCTAACGCACTCGGCCCCCATGCTGTCACTTCTCACTCGCCAATAGCCTTGATGGGTCCTCCTATCCGCCCCCTGAGGATCGGTCATCAAAAACTCTTCTCGCTGCGTCTCCTCCCCGGCTTCACTCGGGGACCGTGGCTCCACTAGCGTAGCATTCAGAATTCCCAGAGATTCGTTCGAGAGTCCAGACTTCGTACTCTCCCAAACCAGACTACTCGCTACGCTTCCTCGCTACCGTCGATGAAGGACTCGGGGAACCGGGGAAATAATAACAAGGAGGTACGGCGAAGGGGCCCGTACTTCCTGAGTGATGTGATTTGATAGGATGTCGCGGCATCGGCGTTGAGTATACCCGTAATGTGATACATCTGGCTTCGGGGCCGTATCTTGATCCGGCAATCTGGTCGGGAGGGCACCGACTGTCTACGCAGTAGAAAACTGCGAGGTGCGTTACATACAGTGTAATACGATCTAGCATGCTTGGATACGGAGTACATGTCGGATATACATGGCGCCGCGCGGTATTGGCTTTGCAGGACAACCGTCCAATGTCAGCTACAGGATAGCGTGACTCTTATGCATGGCTGTGACTTCCTTGTCGAATGTAGATGAGTGGGAATTGCAGGGACATGCACACGACAAAGACATATGCTGCCCTGGTCAACGCAGCTTTGCGAGAACCACACTACTGGGCAGATGCCATCGAGAAGGAAAAGACTGAAAGGGGGGGAAGGTAGGGCGGGCATGCTGGTCAGAAGACATCAAGTGAATCCGAGCCAACATTTGGGGATCGGAGTTTTGTTAGCAAGCGTGGTTCGATCTGATGTTTAGCTGTCAAATGGTACCAGTCAGAACTTTGAATGGTGAGGTTGGTTGGCAACTGGTTAGCCCATCCCGCTAGTCAAACTCAAGACTAGTAACGCAAGCCGGCAGGCAGCGTAACGTTCCATTTCGAGGCTTTTTCTGGAAGACTTGCTGGAATGCCGTCAACCGTCTATTATGACATGCTCTCTGACACGCACTCCCTCTGTCAGTTTCGACTTTTGTCAGACGGTCAGAGTCGTCATCTCTTCGCCCTCCGGTAGCAGTTACGGGAAGCAGCAGGAACGCAGGAGATGGGCTCCAGTAATCTAGGTGACACGGAACGCGGCGCTTTACCAAATCTATGGCTTTGTAGCGAAAGGGGAGGCAAATGACCGAAGAATATCCATGTTACGTGCTTGCAGCAGGCTGACGAGGGTGTCTGTACGGAGTACGTACTTCATCATGTAGCCGGCGTGCTGTGCCGCAACCTTGCATGGCTGAGGCAAGGATTGTTGGCTGCGGGCGAAAGAGAACAGAAAGACGCCTGAGAGAAAAGTCTGATCTGCGACCGATGTTACCATCTTCGGCGCATCTTTTCCTCTGCGTGGGCGATGAATCATGAGAGTAAAGTGCTGATGGAGACGGTGGATATCTGTGAGGGGCGAACGAGATAGCAAGAACGAGATGCGATCCAAGACGAGCTTTTCTTGTCGTCGCCCAATCTGGTGCGTTGGAGTGTCTGGATATGGCGATGCCTTAAAGACCTGGTGCTGGTCGTGATTTAGAGGCAGCCAATGGGCCAGCTTAAAGTGCGAGGAGGCTTGGTGTTTGAGAACCAGGTATTCCTTGTGAACTTGAAAATGCGTACCATGGTTGCGACGGACTGAGGTGAGTGAATTATCCTTGCAGAGACCGCCGTGAGTGGTCGTGAGAGGCGCGGCTGCTGCGCTAGATTACCACATCCCTTCCGTGTATACTTCGGTGGAGTTACGGCATTGTTTCCCGGGAACCTCCACTGGACGAGAATGCTTAGCCAGACACAGGCGAGAAGAGGCAGATGGGAAAATCCGTCTTTTGAAAGAGTGGTTCTGGGGGAAGGGGGGCCTAGCTTTACAAGGTTGTGGGAGTTGAGCTCCGTAAATAGGGAAAATGGCCAAGAACGCCTGAAAAGGCACAGCAACACGAAATCTCCCACTTTTCTCTTTGGCCTGTGGGTTCCTCGGTGGAATTACGTACGGGCCCAGAGGTGAACTTTTGCAATTCAGCCCTTCTCTCTGTCTACCCCCCATCCCTCCTAGCCTGTCCGAGATTAGCGGTTCTGGGGATTGGTATGACATCCCCTGCTTTCTAGCGAGGCACTTTGGCCGTCTCGCTAACCTCCCCCAACTCCCTTTCTGTCTCGACAACTCGCCAGTGGTTGAAATGAGCTGGCGTTCGAGCAAGCGATTGGAAACCAATGACTTCTCGAAAATAAGGGCCATCGTCAGAGTGTGTTTGAAACTACCGTTTGCTTGCCGGGCCAGGGTGTGGTAGCGGCGACGACCGCGCACCGTTCCGTTGTGGCACAGACATTTGGCAAGCAAACAAAACGGGTTTGTTAAGCCTTTTTCTGCTCCCCCTCGCTCCCTCCCGCGCTCCCGCCCTCTTCCCTAGTGTGCCAGTGCCAGTTGTTTGCCTGTAGGTGTATGCCGCTGAAGGAACAGCGCCCGTTGGAAGGGAGAGGATGGGGGGACCCAAACTTGCCCGTCGACGGCGTCTTTCCTAGGCTCTTGGTGTGTGTGAGTGGCACAGTTGGCGCCCGGGGGGGAGGTCTCCGGCGATCCTCCCGCCTCATGGGTGTCTCTGGCTGGGCCACCCTGGCCGGTGGCCCCCGACATCAGGCGATTCCTCCAAGCAGGGGTCAAGGGAAGTGGGATTAGAGTTTTCGGCTCAAAAAGAGTACCACAGTGGGGGTGGTTCGATGAAAGGTCGAGGAGAGACCGCGGTCTGGTTGCGTGAAATTGGATGACTTTCGAGTTCTCTTGCATCGGATGTGAAGCCCTTTGGGCTGATGGTGCAGAGACTGGTGGGAGAGTTCTGAGAGATATGTTCCGCGCCCAGGCCGGTGACCATACATACAATTACATTATTACTGCATCTCATTGGTGCCGTATGCTCTCTTGCTCGTTTCATTTGCCTGCTTGCCGCACAGCCGCCACTGTTGCTACACAGCATTCTGACATTATCGTCCATCGTTTTCAGCCGTTGCAAAAAAAGAAAAGAGGCCTGGTCAAAGTTATACACGCCCCCTAGCCTCTCCCCAAGACCAACTATTCGTCCAACGGGCAAGCCACAAGAAAAAGCACGCTCCAAGCAAACAAGCTGCCCAGCGGCCCAGCGAAGAAAAAAGCCCAGTCCAGCAGAGAGCAGCAACCATGGCAATCTCACAGCAAGGACCCCTCCCCGTCATCATCGTCGGCGCGGGTGTCAGCGGCCTGCTGCTTGCGCAGTATCTCCGCAAGAACAACATCCCCTACCGTATCTACGAGCGCGACACGGACCTCACGACCCGCGGCGTCGGTTGGGGCCTGACGCTGCACTGGTCTCTCCCTGCGCTACGATCCTTGCTGCCAGATGATCTTGTTGCGCGGCTGCCCGAGGCCTACGTTGACCAGGCTGCCGTCGCTAGGGGTGAGGCATCTGCGTTTCCTTTCTTCGATTTGAGCACCGCCGAGCTGAAAGGCGCCAGCCCCCGTGCCCCGGAGAGCCTAAGGATTAGAGTTACGAGGGAGAGGTTGCGCCGTTTGGTGGCTACAGATATCGATATTCAGGTATGTTTGCTCTCCCTTGGAAACCCCACCTGCATTTCTTCAACGGTTGGACACGAGACACTTGGCAATGCTCCGTAAACAACTCCCGTGCTAAGTAACAATTGCAGTGGGGGAAAGGCTTCACGAGATACGAAGAAAATGAAACCGGTGTCGCTGTCTACTTCGAAGACGGCAGCTCGGTGGCCGGTCGCGTGCTCATTGCTTGCGACGGGGGTCCCTCCCGTGTCCGGCGCCAACTCTTCCCGGAACAACACGAGAGACACCGGATCCCGGTCCGGGTGCTTGGTCTCAAGTTGCAATTGACTCCCGAAGAGATGGAGCCAATCCGAAAGCTGGACCCCTTTTTCCTGCAAGGTGCATCATCTCGGAATGATACATTTCTCTATCTCAGCAGTTAGTCCCTCCCTTTTCTTGGTTTTATGATCAGAGCGCAGGGAGTAGTATCCGATCTTTTCTCTTTTCTTCATGTCACGAGAGTGGCTCTTGACACCCGATCAAGACGAAAGCGAGGTCTTTTCTCTCTACCGAACCAGGGTTGTCCCTGAGCCGAGAGTGCTACCTTGGGGCGGAGACCCTCTCATCCCCTTGCCTCTCCATCATCTTTCTAATGACTTTCTCTCTTGCGCGCGCCTGTATGCAGGGCGGAAAAAGAACAAGCCCAAAAGAATGATAGAACGAAAGGCTAATTACACACTTTCCCTAAACTGCAGTGCTTGACGCCCCTGGAAACAACGACGACAGCACGGGCAAGTACAGCTGCCAACTGTGCGTCTCATGGCCGGATCGTCCGGGCTTCCTGGGTAAGCCGGAGCCGGTCGGCTATCCGCAGACGGACGCCGGCAAAGTCGAGCTCATCAGGTCTTTTGCCGAAGGGTGGTCGGAGCCGTTTCGCTCCCTTGCACTCGGCATTCCCGCTGACACTGACGTGAAACACCTCGATCTCTACGACTTCCCTCCGCCAAAGGGGTTGAGGTCCAAAGGGAGGGTTGTGTTGATGGGCGATGCCTTTCATGCGATGGCGATGTGTAAGTTGAACAACATCCGTGCCTCTTCTTTGTTGACAAATCTCCCCGTTTGCCCATTTTCTCCGAGACGTTTCGTTCGGCATTGAACTCTGGGTTTCTTGGTCTCTCTATTTACCATACCCTTGAGAGTGGTTCGTCTCAAATAGACGAGGATGTATGGCTGACGGCACGCACAGACAGAGGCGAGGGTGCCAACCACGCCATCCTCGACGTTCTCGACTTTGCAGAGACCGTTGGGCCCAAGTTGAGCGGCAGTAACAACAGCTTCGCGGACCTTCGAGCCGTTCTGGACATTTACGAAGATGCTGTGGTCTCCAGAGCCCGACCCGGCGTGTTGGCGTCGCGGCGGGCCTGCATGGATGCGCACGACTGGCCCAAGATTAGCCCTACGAGTCCGCTCCTCAGCAAGCGGGAGATGAAGCTTCAGTTTGATGAAGAGTAAATGGACTATGGGACTTGCGGATAGCCCACCTGTAGCTTTAATAATCTTTCTAGTCTAATTGATTCATTCATGATATAAACGCAGACAAGAAAGATCGCGTACACCGTGTTCTTGGGAATGGGGATCAGCATCGTGTTGTGGGATGTATGGGGTGATGGGGTGATTTCTTGACACGTAACTGTCCCTCCACTCCCTCCCAACCACCCCTGTTTGTCGTGCTTCCTCCACCGCGGTGGGGAGAGATCAGCAAGACGAGAGCCCTGTGTTGTGCCTGTGCTGTGCCTTGCCCGTGCTGTGATGATGACCAGGTTTCCCCCCATCTTGCTCCCGCCGGCTTGCGATCGAGGGTATCATTCTCTGCAGAAGCGAATGAGTGATGATGCGGTGCGGTGCGCTTCCGTCAGCCCCAACCGGATTCCGAAAAAGATGAAGTCCTCAATGGGAAGTGATCGCTGGTAATGAACAAAAACATCTCAAGGTTTGTGTGTCCAGCGCCTCCAACGCCCTACAATCGATCTATCGAATCTGATGCTTTTCTTTCCAAAACAAGTCCCTTTTACACATTATCATGTTACATTTTCGCCATTCAAATGGTTTTTTGTGCTTTCAAAGTTGTGCTGATGCGTGATACCCGCCATCTTACACATCTGAATCTCGCGAATCCCTCCGTCGCGTGCCGCCGCTTATTCCACCATGCATGCCTGATTTGCTGTCCACCCTGTCGTCGACCTGGACGCTGTACGTCACCGACTTCATAATGTTGCCGGGCAAAATGTTCTCCTCGCTGCCGTTGTCGCCCTTGCTGTGGTTCGCCGAGGCAAAGACGGACTTGTCGTGGTTCATCTCGCTGAGCTTGTACCGTTCCCCACCTTTCAGGTGGCTTCGTCCGTGCGATGAACCTCCAGAGTACTTCGAGCGATAGTTCTTGGCCTTCTTCATGCACACCGGCGCCAGGAATGGAAGTGAAGATACGATGTTCTGCCCATATTCATTAGCCATTTTGGATCACCGGAAGACACGGGAAACGGGAAAGCTCGCGGACGCTTTGCCGGGAGAAAACTTACGCCAACGTTAAATTCAATGGTGCCCCACAGGACCAGCATTGTCGAGTTGCCGTCGCCGTACTGGATGCGGTTGATCTCGAGGTATCGCAGGATAGAGCAGAGCGTCGTGAACAAACCGAGAAGGAAAATGGCAATGAGACCGGCCTTCTTCTCCACGCGGACGTTGAGCTTGAGCAGAACCGGGATGGGCAGTACCGCCACAACGACATCGGACACGATGGTGACAACGGCGTATGCGGTGAAAGATGGGCCCGCGGGCAGACAAGTTCCCGCTTTGAGGGGGTTCCATGACTTGTCGACAGGCGTGCAGGCGAAGACAAGAGAGAATGAGCATCCGAGATGAGCGATGAAGACCAAGATGATGGTTAGCCAGACGATACGGCGATAGTTCTTTTGGTCGGTTCCCTTGAGAAGACGTAGATAACTGATCAACAGGGCAATCTTGAAAAAGCTGATGCCCAGTTGGTAAAATGGGCGACCTGCAAAGTTGATACGCGTGTATAAAATCAGATTGTCCTTTGGCCTAAGCTTGATGGGCAAACCGAGGCCATATCTCGTTTCTGACACACCATATTAGAACCATTGATGGGGAACATATCCAACTTTCGGCGTGATACTTACGGGCAATGGTAAGGCCGGAATAGATGAGAGCAAATACTTCGGACAAAATCGACATCCAGTCATCGGCAGCCAGACCTCGGGCAGAAAATCGGATCCAGATTCGAGAGCCCACGACGATGACTGAAAGCACAGAGAGGACGATAACGACGGCGATGATGGTCGGCCATTGCGATATGGCCTCGACCTCGGGCGTGGCGTTGAGAACCCAGCCCATATTGGCGGTTTATAAAATAAAACGGTTGGTGCAGCGATTGCGTGGCGCTGAGCCGTAAATGCAAGACAAATCCAACAAACTTCCCGATGAAGAACGCCGAGGTCTTTCGTGACTCGTCTAGCGTTGCCGCGATGTGGTGTGTAACTGTGGCTTGCAACCAACACGATCTTGACGTCCAACGAGTTTCCGAGTTCCAACGAGAAAACCAAGACCAAATAAACGCGGGACCAACGGCGTAGTATAAAACCGGGCTCGAATGGGGGAGAGGAATAAAAAGGCCAACGGAGGTTAAGGGGACTTAGACTCAGGGGAGAAGCGAGGACGGGGAGGAGGGGGGAGGCGACCAGCCGACTGGTAAAATAAGATCCTAGCCTGCAGGTCGAAAGCAAGGGACACTTTATGAATATGGTGGAGAGTCAGAGTAGCAATACACAAACAGCATCCGCAAACGTTGAACGGCTCAGAGACTAGGGGGGCGGTTGGCCACTTTAATCTTTATTACGTCGTGTGGTGCGGTGCGGTCTTCTACCGCCCGCTCGCGCGTGGGATATGTGCGTGGCGCTGAACACTATCTGTGTGATGAGTGGTGCAGCATGGCCCCTTCACCTTGCCTTTTGCTAGCTGGGAACATCACATTATCCACAAGGAACAAGAAAATATGAGCCAGTCGCTTTGCGTATGCGTGCTCCGAGCTTCTGGGAACTTTGGGAAGTCAAAAAGAAAGGAACAAGCTATGGGGTACGGATACGTGCCTATCCAGCTCTATCCTTACGAGGAGGGGGGAGTCGAGAGAGTGTCCCCGCCTGGCCTTGCTGCTTCGACACCCTGAAAAGCTCGCAGGTCACGACATTTGGGGCAGGTCAAGAAAGCTCACAAGTGACTAGGCAGAAGTAGAAATCTGGGATGCCTTGTCTGGCAAAGGCAATCGGTCCTCAAATTGTCTCAACCACCGCAAGGATTGAGCCAGTCTGGATGGAATCCGTGCAATGTGATAGGGTTTTAGGGCCTGGTGCTGGCTCGGGAACCTGGTGCTGGCATGGCCTTGTTAGTGTCTCGATGTTCGGCCACTGGCCCAATAACCAGGCTCCGCCAGGGACCTTCATCCATCGGACATGGGGCGGCGGCCAGAAAAAGTTGCCATGGGAAGGGAAATACAGTGATGCCACGCCATACGCAGTAGTGATGGGTGGACTGTCTTCGGGTTATTCGTAAATCGAATGTGACGCTGGGCGGTATGAAATGTGAGAAGCTTCCAAAGAAGAGGAAGGTAGCTCACGGAAGCGCGGGAAAGACAAAGTGTTTGGGGGATCACCGCAAGAGGCTCCGCAGCGAATGCATCGCTGCATCGTTCCCTTTTCTTGCGATTTGATGCGTCGTCTTCTTTCTGGGTTTCTGGCTGCTACACGCTTAAAGCTTTGCCAAGCCTCCCAAGTCTGGTTTCCGAATTACATTATTTCTTCTTCCTGGGGCCGGGACTGGGCTGGCTTCGGTCGTTCTCCATCATGCCGTCCGGAGTACCATCCGAAGAGGAGGGGGGTGTGGCTGGCGTGGAACTCCAAAATGCGTGTGGTTACTTCGGGACAGAAAAACTTCCACGGAACAAAATTGCTCTTCGGGAGAATACTTTCAGAAGTTACCAAATACGACCAGGGAAAGGCAACGGTTGGCTTGGGTTAGCAACGTCAACCGTGGTACCATGGTGCTACAGCCTACGACGGCCGACGAACCGGGGTTCTTGGGAGGGGAGAAGTGAGAGAGGTTAGGCCAAAAGCAGAAGATGCGACGGTAAAGGGACGCGGGCGGTGCTAAGCGGCATTGCGTCTGCTGCAAGTCGTTGGCAACTCGCAAGGTCTGAACGGACCACGGACGGTAACTGTCAAACTTCCACTGTTCGTGGCCCTGGCTTTTTCTGCTCTATTGACTGTTGTGTCGGCGCCGAGGCGAAGGTTGACAGATGGAAAGTTTCTCTTCCCGAAAGTCTACTGCTGTGTTGTGTGCGTAGGTAATGCGGAACTTCCTACGCGATTGAGCCCTTTTGGTGTGTCTAGAACCCCAGCAAAGCAGGCGACAAAAAGATTAACATCGTTCGATGACAGAAGCCAAATTGACACTTTGACAAGTCCAGTAAAAGTCGGCTAGACCGTCCCGTCTTGTCGCCTTGTCATTATTAAAAACTGCCCCCATTTCTGCCCGTCTTCTCGCAACGCCCCCGCTCGCAGGAGAACTTTTTTCCCTTTTCTGCCCTCTCATTTGCAGAGAGCTCAGAGCCTCACTGCCTCAGTACCGCTTGACCTCTCCAAATTCCCAGCTATCTGCGCTGGCCCGCCACATCACGACGACGTCTTCTGGGTTGATGACTCGGATGTACGATAAGAATCAGCAGGCCGCAGATGAGCGGATGGGGATAACTTGCGAAGCAGTCTAATAGAGAGGGGAGGAGGGGCCCTTATTTACGGTCGCCATCAAGCCTGGATCCCCCCGCATAACCACTCTGAAGAGCGGGCCGACGAGAACCCAAGAGCTTTAGAGGTCCCAGAATCGTCGCAAAAGTCGCAAAACGAACTGGTATTGGCATACAGATCATGGGCTAAGAGGTGATGCGGCCGGATATGAATGGGACAGGGCCTCTTCAATGGACCTCTTTCAATGGGGTGAACAAGCCGTAGCAGGCCGGGTTCTGGCATCATCTGGATCCAGTCCTCGCCTGAGAGGTACGGATATGCCACCACTTCCACCTGTCTATGGAGTACCTCGTACTTGGGGCAAAGGAGGAGCCTGGAGGAGTATGTATGTAACTTGTCGAGATCCATCGCTCGCCAGACCGGATATCCCTCGTTCTCGAACTGGAGGTCCAGGTTGCATGCATCGGCCACCGGGGATCGGGCCCCAGTCTTCCTTCTCGTGAGTTAGGGGTCCCCCCGGTCCCCTGCTCCAACTACGCAAACCTTGCATGCTGCAGGCGGGGATCGGGGAGCTGCGCCGTACGGTACGCTAAGCTGTTGGTGTGGTCGATTTTGGGAGGGAAAAGTGACAATACCTGCGTCGACATGGGGTGAGATGTACTTAGGTGAGACCTGCAGCACGCAGGTAGCACGTTGCTCGTCTTGTCTAGCCCTCTTCCTTTCCTGCAGCTGTCCCTCATCATCCAAGTTCCAACAAGAGATTCTTGTTCAAGTGTTGTAACTTGTGGACTGTGTGGTGGTGGTTCTGATACCATTCTTGTACACATCTCCTGGCGGGGTCCCTTTTACTGGACGAACTACTAATCAGTCGAATCAACTTTTGTCACTCGTTGCTTTTCCTCCTTTTCATTACGACTTTCCCCTCCTCTTCGTCTCGTTTTACTTATTTTACCTTTTTCTTTTCCATCTGACACCTGCGCGGATATCAGATCAGAAATCTCGACCATCCCCCAATCCAACCTTCTTTAGCCTTCAGTCCCGCAGCGGAAGCCTGTGCGCGCCTCGTCGTCGATCACCAGACGACGGACCAACTTTGCTTTTGGCATCTCCTTCCCGCTACTGAGTGCTAAGGTAGTAATCGAGAAAGGGTCACATCTCTTCCCATTGTTTTGCTTATTCTATCCTACCGTCTTACACCTACCGGCGTCTAAAGCAAGACAAGACATATATACAAAGCAAACATGTCCGTGGACGAGAAGAATCCTCAGGACTTTGAGAGCTCGGCCGCCTCGTCCGACTCTCGCGCGGATACGGGCAACATCGACGCCGCGTGGAAGTTCCTCAACGACCATCGCGATGCCGGCACCGACACGAGCTCCGTGGACATGAACGCGCTCAGACGCAAGATCGACTGGCGCCTTGTCCCCCTCATGTTCCTCTGCTACACCATGCAGTTCCTGGACAAGGTCATTCTCAACGTGAGTACTTCCATGTGGTCTTCCAAGATCTCTCTTCCCACCACAACCTCTCTCTCATCCAGCCCATGTCTGAGCGGCCTGCTTGCTTTTGTGACCTGGTTTTGTCTCTCACAAGGTCACCACGCGACCCAATGCTAATATGATATCTGATACCGTAGTACGCCGCCGTCATGGGCTTGAGCAAGGACCTGAAGCTCGTCGGGAACGAGTTCTCCAACATTGCCACCTTCCTCTTTGTCGGTCTTCTCTGCTTTGAGGTTCCCAACAGTAAGCCTTACCCCATCTTATTCCCCATATCACCGGAAGAAAAGCAAGAAAAGAGAGACTCGAACGACGTAGAAACTCTGGAGAAGCTCGGAGGATGATGGAGAAACTCGAACGTTGGAGAGACATGAATCATCAAGACTCGAATCATGAGCACAGTCTGCAAAAGGAAAATGAGAGACATCGAGACTAACATAATCTCCTTCCACAGTCTACTTCCTCCAGATGGTCCCCGCGGCCAAGTGGTTGGGCCTGAACGTCATCCTCTGGGGCACGGCAACCGCCTGCGGTGCCGCCGCCCACAACTACCAGTCCCTCCTCGTCTCCCGTGTCTTCCTGGGTATCTTCGAGGCCACCATCGGCCCCTCCCTGATGCTCATCAGCGCCCAGTGGTACACCAAGTCCGAGCAGGCCCCGCGCTTCTCCTTCTGGTACCTCGGTCTCGGCCTCGGCCAGATCCTCGGCGGCGCCATCTCCTACGGCTTCCAGCACATCGCTCCCGGCGCGGGCCTCGCTGGCTGGCGCATCATGTTCGTCGTCCTCGGCTGCCTGACCGTGACCATTGGCATCTGCACCGTCCTCTTCGTCCCGGACACGCCCATGCAGGCCCGCTGGTTGAGCGACACGGAGAAGGTTGCCCTGCTGAAGCACGTCAGCGTCAACCAGACTGGTATCGAGAGCCGCAAGTTCCGCCCCAAGCAGATCCTCGAGGCTCTCATGGACCCCCAGATGTACCTCATGGTCGTCGCCGTCGTTCTCGTGCGTTGTGTCCCGTGTAGCTCCTGAAGATGTGTAGTTCGAAATCCGCTGACCCCTTTTCCGCAGCTGTCTGTTTCTAGCGGTGTTGTCACGACCTACTCTGCCACTCTCATCCGCAACCTCGGCTACGACTCTAAGCACGCCGCTCTGATGAACATGCCCTCCGGTGTTGTGAGCATCTTCTTCACTCTTCTCGTCGGGTACGGAATTCGTCACACCTCCAACCGGTGGGCTTGGATCGTCGCCTGTATCATCCCAGCGTGAGTCAACAGTGAATCTAGCGTCCGAAGAAAAAGCAAAATACTAACCCTGCTCAGCATCATTGGTGGCGCTCTGATGTCTTTCCTTCCCGTTAGCAACCGCTCCGGTTGCTTGGCCGGCATCTACCTTGTCAACGCCGTCGTTGCCCCCTTGACCGTCTTCTACGCCGTAAGTACACCTCCGAGTCGCGAGATGTCTGCGTCTCAAAAGACCGAAGACTACATGGTAGCTCTGTGGACATTAGACTGACATAACATGCAGTGGACTGCCGCCAACTTTGGAGGTGCCACCAAGCGTGCCTTTGCTGCCGCCATCGTCTCCGGCTCCTTCTCGCTCGGCAACATCATCGGACCCCAGACCTTCCAGGCCAAGGACGCGCCCGAGTACCGTCCGGCCAAGATCGCCGTCATGGGCACCCAGGCTGGCTGCGCCGTCGTCACCCTGGCGCTGTACGCCTACTACCGCTACGAGAACAAGCGCCGCGGTGCCATCAAGCAGTCCGAGGACGCCTACATGGCCCCCGAGAACTGGCAGTCGATGACCGACAAGGAGAACAAGTCGTTCCGCTACACCTACTAAGGCAGCTGTGCTGAACGCGGGTAGTATGCACAGAGCGCACAAAGTTCCGAGTTCTGGTTAAAGAAAAAAAAGTATACTTATAGATGTATATAGCATTTGGGCAAAAGGGGGGAGGCTTATTGTACATTACTAGATCTTGGTACTGACCAATGAGACCACGTATTTACCGACGACTACACGTTGCGCCGTCCGTGGGACTCTTTTTTGGTTTCAGACGAGTTGGGTCTTACGCGCCGATACAAACGACATAGCTTTTCAGCTTACATGCCCGTTACAGTTTCAGGCTACATTTATCTCGCCAACGGACGCTTTAGACTGGCTCTACGTCCGATGCTTTGCCTGCCAGTCCACCTCGGGTGGACGGGCAGAGGCAACGTATGAGAATAGAACGAAAAAAAAAAAAAGATGTTTGGCCATCCACCCCTTATTCCCGTTGCGCGTCATGGCGTTACTTAGTCTGTTTGTGGTTGATGTGTAAGGCTGACTGGACGGCATACGGCGCCACGGTTCACCAAGTCCGGTCATAGTACCATCCGGCCGGCACTTGGAGGGTGTTGGCGCTGCGGCTGTCTTTGATTTAAGCTTCATCTGACCGCCCTGTGTCAAGTCTGTCGTGCGGGTCGCTCGGGAACCTTCCACCCACTTACCGGCGAGGCAAAAAGGGAAAAGAGGGAAAAACGGGTGGCAAAGGAGAAAACCCAAAAACCCATCGGAGGTCGGTGCTCACGGCCAACTCTAACGAACCAAGCCAAACCCAAGGCCTCTACGGCAAAAGCCCTAAAGACTTGGGCCTAAAGACGCATGGGTTACCAGAAGAGGTTAGCACTTCCGCTATGCTTTTTGGCAATGGGATAAAAAGATGGGTAGACACTGGGCTGATAGTTCTTTCAGGTTCACTTGCTCTGTTCAGGTGTAGTGGTATTCGCCTAGTCTGCTTGGTCAGATTGCGACCCCAGCCTCTAGAGTCTACTATGACATTTAGCCTATGACAGCTAGCTTAATAAGGAGCTTACTCGCGTGGCAAGGCACCGGCACTGAATCCCGTCGGATTTATGTCGAGGAGCTCGCGCGCGGAAGCCTCAATCTCTGAGCTATCTTATGCCAAGGTCTTGACAAGCTCCTTGAATTCCGCCTCGGTCATCCGCTGGACCCCGAGCAGTTCGTTGGTGGCATCTGTGTCGAAAGTGAGCTGGAGCTCTGGGTCATAGACGAATCGCAAGACGATATCTTCGATGACGGACGCGTCAAAAACCCCAGAGAGGAGCTTCTGCACGCCCCGCTCGTAGCGCTCCTCCGTGCTGACTTTGATGACTTCAATGTCTATATCGGGCAGAGCTTCCTTGACTAGCTCGGTGATCCGGTTCTGCGTCAGGTTGATCACCTCGATCGTCAAGATCTGGTTCCTGGTCGCATCGGGTCGTTTGAGCACACCCACAACCGCGTCGCCAAACGCCTTGCGCGTGCTCAGTCCAAACCGGACGTTGCCGTCCTCGTGGATGTAGAATTTGCGTTTGGGGAGGCACATGCCGGTGTCGCAAGTCATGATCCATTCGATCCAGGGCCCGCCGAGGATGCTGGTATACTCAATTTGCCCTGCCTCAGCCGCTTTCTGGAGCGCCTCATCGACTCGAATCTTAGAAGCTGAGAGGGGTACAGATCGTGCACTCGGATTCCGATGGTCGGAGCCGAACTCCGAGGGAATGAAGCGCTTTACCTCGGCGGCGATGGCAGCCTCAAAGATGCGCAAGAGGAGGGCTTCGAGGTGGCCTGGAACGACGCAGACGACGGCGTCAAACCCACGGAAAGCAACGGTCAAGTCGTCCAATGATTCATAGTCGGCTGCGACAGTCTTTACTCCCGGGGGGAAGGTCTTGGCGTTGGAACCCCGGGTGATGACGACAAGGTTAAAGATGCCGGCGGCAGCGAGTTGGTCGACTATGACATGCCCGAGGTCGCCGGTGCCCTAACGTCGGGTAGTAAGTATGGGATGGGTGGTACGGTGGTCAGTGCAGTGCAGTCTGATCGGGCTGCCTATGTTAGGCTTTATTAGGGGTACGGGTACGGAGTAACCGTAAACGTTTAGTAGTGTAAGGATAGTGTATCCGTAGTGTAGGGGCAAAGGGGAAACGAGGGATCCACGATGCGTGGCTCATGCAATCTGTAAAGAGTAGGTTGAGTGTGGCTTACTCCAATAACGGCAATGTTCTTCAGGGTAGCCGCAGTCATGGTTTATTTTTGTCGACTTGATAGGTTGTCTCAGATTGTAAGCTTTTCTACAGAACAAGGGGGCCTGATTGATAAAGCGTGTCTGATGTATCCGTAGGCTAAAGACTTTGAGTGTCAGAATGCCGATGACTATGTCTCTCTAGTGACGTGAGGGCATCTGCAACTCTTCAGTATAGGGCGATCCCCCATTCATATTATACAGAAAGACTATGAGACTCTGCCTATAACCATCATTATTCATCAAGTCCGGGCCCTCCGCTGTTGCTTACCGTTATCCTACCGGTGTACCGGCGGACGCATACATAAGCTCGGCGCCCGGAGGCCCCGCCCCGGCGGCAGAGACCCCACTTATCTCGGTATCCCACCGGCTGAGTAATTGGGCCTATAGATGGGCCAGACGGACGCCCAGCCAATCGTTGGCGAGGATAGGCGCATCCAACTGCCGAGGAAGGTTTAGCCTTGACACTCACCCTCCACCGCCGTCCACCTCAGTCATCTCCCTCCTAGGTAGTCCTAGTCCTAGTCCCTGGCACTCCTGGCAAGCATAGTCGTCTCGTCCAAGAGCTAAGCGTACGGCGGATTCAAGCGAAGTCCACGTCCGAACACCCAACATAACGCCCACACGCTCTCCACGCACGCGACACACTCACTCACACACGCACAAGACCTGGACCTGGACCCAGGCCAGACCACCTAAGCCTTTAGCCCTCTTTAACCTATCCTATCCTATCTCTGCTCTGCTTGCTCCGGGTGGCTATCCGACCCCCTTCTCAAGCAACCTCTTTTAGATCTAGTCAACCCGCCGGCAACTACTTCCAGGGCAATGGATCTATCCCTTCCTTGCGTTGGAGGTCCCCAGAATGCCCTTCACCTGCGACCATGAAGGCTGCGGCCGCTCCTATCTTCGTAAGGAACACCTCACACGCCACAAAAAAGAGCACTCTGCAACGCCTTCATTTTCCTGTCCATCATGCGGTACCAAGTTTACAAGAGGGTATGTATGACTGTGGGTGGTTGACAAACTACCCATCCCTTCCCTAGTACGTGGTGTCTCTGACACTATTTGTCTTGTCACCTGTCGCGTCCATCGGGTTGCATTCCCGAGGCGCTTCTCGTGGGATGACTATCGTTTGTCGATGTCGATCGGATTCTGGATCCCGCGCGAAAATAAATAACTAACCGCGGGAAATTTTCTATCAAAATTGTAGAGATACTCTCCGTAGACACATGGTACTACATGGCCCTTCAGCCCCGCCAACCCGCGTAGCACAAGCCTGCGTTCCATGCCACCGGACAAAGACCAGATGCGATGGTCAGCAACCCACCTGCTCAACATGCAATGACAAGGGGAAATCGTGCGAATGGCCACAGCCGCGCGGCGGCAGCAAGTCGCTGACGGACCGGTCTTCATCCTCGCCGTCCAGCTCCTCCGGCCTACCGACCTCGGGCTGTACGCCGCCCTCGAACTCCATGGCCTTGCCCGACCACGGCGGCCATCCGATGACAGCGCCGAGCATGCAGCATCAGCATCAGCATCCGCAGCATCCGCCCACCGGCATGACTACTACCTCGCATGCGATGATGTCGACTGGTCCCATGCCGATGTCGACGATGTCCGACACCCTCGACTTTACCACCCCGGGATCCATTCTGGATGAGGCCATGAGGCTCCAGCTGCAGAGCATCTACTTCGCCAAGTTCCATCCCCAATGGCCGCTGCTGCACCGGGAGACGTTCGAGACTACGGCACAACCCAAGTTGTTGATGCAGGCCGTTATGACGGTGGGACTATGGTTTGCTTCGTGGCCTGAAGCCAGGGGCCTGGCCATCAAGTTCCACGATAGTCTCCTAATAGAAACAGGAAACAAGCTTGTAAGTTGCTGTTGTCATCTGCGGTTTGCCAGACTATGTGGTTTTCCTCCAGTCTTTTGCTTGTATTCTTGCGCTTGGACGGGGGTCCTTGCCAATTACACGGACATTTGTCGTTGTGTTTAACAACCTACTCGTAAAGAAGGATATTATACTAATCAAGGTTACAGCTTGATCTATTAGAGCAGTCAAGACAAGGCATGCTCTCGCCACGGATGGATTTGCTCCCAGTATTCCAGTCCATGCTGATCTCGACAATACTCGTACCGTATCGAGCGGACCAGTCCATGGACAACGTGATGATGACGCACTCCATGTTGCTCGAGACGTTCAAAGCTACGGGAGTATACGAGCAGTCAAAGATCAATCTAGGGTCGCAGCTCTGTGGGCATAGTGGATACCCCTGGATCTTTAAAGAGTTATATCAACGGTAAGCCAAAGCTCCTTCTCCCGCGATATCAACATGCCAAGGAAGACGAGAAGATCGCATCGAAACGATCATATCTTCTTCAACTGGTTTTCCGCGAAAACTAGAAGAACCAGTCTCTTTCCTATGGCATACTTTTCCTTTACCTCAGTAATACACGAGTCATGGCTAACTCTATTCACGTACAGTCTCGCTGTCTTCCAGTTCAAACTACATTTAATTCTCCAAACAATATTCATCACAATACATCCCGCCTTGCGTCTATCCCGCAACGCAGAGCCTGGCATGCTGAGGATAAAAATACCGCTGCCGCTGATGATGTGGGATGGGCCCGCGGCGCACTGGTACGGCATGGTGCCGACGGATCCCGCGCTGCTCGACGCGAATGCCGGCGACGAAGAAGTGCTGATGATTAGCAAAATGTGCGAAAAGGCGAGCCTCACGATGGACAACAAGGCGCTTGTCCCGTTGCTCTCATGGGACCGGTGTTTGGGAATGGCGATTTGGTGTTGGTGTTTACGGGGGTCTGAGAGCGACAAGGAGTTTATAGAGAACGTGAAGCCGTTTGTTCTCGATCCATTGAAGGATACGAATGTTTTTCCAGGTTCTAGCTAGGTTGGCATGGCATTCAATGCAAAAAGACTAGACGAAAAAAAATTACTGGAAAAATTGGTACACTAGTAGCGGTCGATTTGGTATGACGTAAAGGCTCTTTACAACCCGACTATACTACGCAGCACGCAATTCCATACAGACTATACTATGCAGCGCCTCGACAAACATCACGAACATGCCGGCCATACCACAGCACAAGGCCACGCTCGCCACGGCCTCCGACCACAAGGCTGCTCTATTTTTCTCACTTTCTCTCTCCCTTTCCGTCGGCGCAATTTTGCTGCGGCGGCGCCCACTCGGCATCCCACTCGGCCAACAGTGATAATCAAGGGGGGTTTCGGCCTAGCGTGCCGGTGGGATGAGGCGGGATAATTTTCCTCCTCTGGATCTAGTCGAGTGGGGTCGCGCGGTGACCGACGATTCCAAGGCTTTATGCACAACAGAAGCCCAATGTGGGCGGCCTGGGGTGACTTGCCCCCGGCTCAGGTGGGATAGAGAATTCATAGTCAAATGAGACGTCTGCCGCCACCATTTACCGCACTGAAATGGCACTGACAGAGCGGTCACCGCGCCTCGACGAAGTATTCAGTTGCAAGCAAAAAGCTCCGAGACAAGCAAGCAGAAAGCTCCGACACAAGTCGCCGAGTAGTTTGCGATAACGAAAGTACTCCTCTCGAAACTTTCCATTGCTCGAGACGACCATCATCAGCTATCCGAGCCTCTGATTCACAGAACCGATAACGGTCTGTACATCGGGCAATACCCACGTACTGTACCTAGTAGATCATGGCGGACTCTATTCAATGGATTCGAGCGCTCCAGCTCGTCAACCTTCTGGGCGTCACTCATCTTGCCGGTACCGCGATAATCAGCTGATCACAACCCCGTCTCATTCCGGAAGCGAGGGAGGCTAAAGTCATCTATAGGCTACCAATTTGGAACGGACAAAATTGCCATGTACAGCATCCTAAAACTCAATGACAAGGACACCATAGTAAAGCTCTGGTTCCGGGGCTGGGACTTTGGCCGAGTGTACGGCCCCGCAATGGTTGTCGGCACGGCCGCCGTTTTTGGCTTCCTGGCATGGAACGGTGCGCGCCCACTTTCCTTACTTCGCCCCTCCGTCCACCTCCTAATCTGGACTCTACCCTGCCCTTTCTACTACAGCTCCCGCAACTTTAAACAAACGAACAGACCTCTCCCATCATTGACAAAAAAACATATCGGCTAACGAATATACCAGACGGCATCGCAAGTCCCGCGTTCCCATTCAATCTCGCCGCCGGACTCCTGATGGGGGCCGTGGGCCCGTATACGCAGTTCAGGATCTTCCCCGTCAACGACAAGCTGTTGGAGGAGCATCGAATCGTTATCAAGGCGGAGAAGACGGACGAGCGAGCACAGGGTGCCAGTGTCGAGGTTGTTCGAGGATGGGCTGCTGACTGGAAGAGACTCGACATTCACCGACAACTTCTCGCCTACCTTGCTGCCGGAGCTGGCTTGATCGCTGTTCTCAGATCTTGAGAGTGCCGTTGAACCGATGGCAGACTGGGGACTCAGTACGATCGTGGGGAGAGTTGAGAAGATACTGTACACTTTTGATTTACGACGGACGAAAACTCCCGAATACGAACAGATACGATTACCTAGTACGAGCGGATACGAAAATTCACGATTAATTCAGTACGAAGGCCTTTTCGACCCTGTTCTCTTGAAAATGGAATACTTGAGCAAATAAGTGGCCTGGCACACGACGGTTCATTCAAAATTCAGGAACAGATTGATTGAAAACTGCGGTCACAATAGTCTGATACTTGCAACTTTCTCGAATCCCCCACACGCCGATGGAGGTCTGAATTTGAAGAACCCCCAATTGACCTTCGAGTTTCAGCGAAAGCGATGCGAAATACAGACGAAACCCATATCCCCAGTTTGCAGACAATAATACAAGAAGTCATAGATCGGTGTTGGCTGTTGTGCGTTTCCATTCTGTGAAGCTGTCCAAAAAAGTAGCCTCGGCCTCAACATGGAGTTGCTCTTTTTGCTTGCAATGCAATAAGTGATTGGTGGGAAGTAACTTCCTATCTTGTCCTGGTATCCACACATTCAGACCAATTGACCCTGACAAGACGGAACTCGGCTCTACTGTCTGTGGGAATAAGGGCATTCTCTCAATCTCTCTGAACACTTGCTCCCTAGAGTAATCAGTCCCATAAGCCTCACGTGGTCAACTCCCGATTAGCAACGTCTTCTATGTCCAGAAATCGAATTCATCTGTGATGATTTGACAGCGAACGATATCTAGTTTCGATGCCGGCTCCAGTCAGGGCGTCAGGTGTCACGAAAGACCACTCAAGCCAAATCGTCCAGCTTTGCGTCATCGAGGTATCGGATAATAGTCTCGAATCGCACCTTTCCTCCAGTACCTAGGCCCTGAAGAGTAAATGGAAGTATCCAATTCTGTCACATGTTGATACTATTCTAGTTTACCAATCAATAGCCGTATACTCGATTTCACGAGCGCTACCTAGGGTACACTATCAATTGTCGTCTTTAGCGCTCCGATACCTCCCACGTTCTATCCCATATCCTGCTCGCTCGACATCGGCTACGCATCCGACCGTATCGTCTGCCATTACAGTCCGCACTGGATTCAGAATACAGCCTCGATCGAAAGATATTGCACGTCTCGTCTGGAGATCAGCGCGAGAACTAGGGAAGATTACAAGGGAGTAAAGCCCGAAAGTTCGCGATAGAGCGATTGACACTAGGGAATCCGTGGTATTACCACGGCGCCTATTTCGTCAACAATGCTCTCGGCAACTGCGACACTTGATATTCCCTCGATTTTGCAGGCCAGTGTGTGCGAACAGACTGCGTGGGCAACATGGAAGGCAATGGCTCCCATGCTGGCGGTAAACTACCAGTCTACCTCCGTCCCGGACGAGATAGCATCTTGTACCTGCCATAAATAGGCCATGCCAACATATCGAGCTGCAATAAAGAAGCGGTCCGGCTGCCATTGCCGGTCGAGAGGACAGCAGACTTCATTCAATATAGACGTACCGGCGGGAGATCCGAACCCGTGTCATACTATCCAAGCAAATGTTTCCTGGGATTATAGTCTCGTCGAGCTTTCAGATCTCTGATGGAAAATATTCGCATAGGTCCCACAACGGCTCTAATTGCTAGGCCCGGAGTCAATCAAGTCCCATAACCCCCAAAAAGTGCAAAAAAGAGAATCTTCAACCGTACGGTGGAATCTAACCACTGAATCTCCCCGAGGTGGGCTCGAACCACCAACCTCCAGATTAACAGTCTGACGCGCTAGCCAATTGTGCCATCGGGGATGTTGAGATGTTGTGTCTCTGTGAGTTGATGGGCTGCGCGATTTTTGGGAATATGGAGCTCGCGTCGTAGTGTGGACCGATTTGGTGTGGAGAAGCGTCAGAGCGAGATGTGATGGAGTGGAACGAGTCAGTATGTATTAAGACAGACTGGAGAGAGGTGAAAAGGCAGACGGACAACTAGGTATCGCTAGAGCTGAGAGAGTATCATCGTCAAGGCTATGATGCCAGAGGATGGTGAAGAGGAGGAAAGTAGGTCGAGAGTTTGTAAAGGAATCGGCGCGTTGGGTGGCGATAGGGATTAAGACGATGGCCTCGGTCATTTGAGGCCGATGGATATCGACCCATCGAGAAGTAGTATAGTTGTCGCAGACTTCTTGCCGGATGTCCATCTGTCGAATTGTGCCTCCTGAAAGTTGTAATCACCATTTTGTCGGGGAAAGTTGAGCCAGGAGTAGCTTTCGGTGAGGGATTGAGGCCTTCGGTGTGCAATCTCGGCAGGCATCCCGATCCCCTTCACCTGACGGGGCTCTCGGTGAAGGAGGTGGGGCAGAAATAAGCTTCGGTACGTACCGATTCACGTGCCATAGCTCCCTAGCGCGCATCAATTTTCGACCCCTGCACTTGGGCAGTCGCGTCTCACCCTCATTTCATCACTGCCGTCACTTTCTCAGCCGTTTGTCTTTCAACAAAGGCAGTAACTTTCTCGCCCGGCAACGAAGGATCTCCATCGATCACCATGCCAGACTCATCCGACGAGTCGGGCCCTGATGGCGTCGGCCTCATGCAAAATGATGCATCCGACCGGGAGTCCTCAGACAGCGAATCAGGGACAGAAGCCGGCGACGCCCCGGGCCAGGGCTTTCTCGACGTCGAAGCTTCAGAAGAGGGGAATAGCGACTCTGACGACTCATCAGAGTCGGACTCAGAAGATGCATCTATCCTTGGTGAATACCGCCGCAAGGCTCCACGGGTGTTTTTCCCCGAATTTCGCAGACTTCCCATCGAGCTTCGTCATCGCATTTGGCAGTACTTTTGTCCAGATCTCGATCCATCACCACGCGTCTTTTCCTTCCAGGTGCTGCCGAATCCACGGCAAGACACCATTTGGGAAAGCACGACCTTGGAGAACCAGATTGCAGCGGTAGATGCCATGTTGCGCGTTCATCACGAGTCTCGAGACATTGCACTCAAGGCATTTCCAGATACCCTGGCGATTAGGGAGGGCCGGCGCATCGTTCGGTTTAACAAAGAACGAGACGTCGTTCATCTCAATGGCATCAAGCGCGTTTGGGACCACAACCTCGAGGTCCCCGGCTTTTCTGAGAACATCGTTAACATGGCCATGGATGGATCTAACCTGGACGCCAATGAACTACGGCTTCTTCTGGCTTTTCCCAAACTCAAGAACCTATTTGATTTCCAGTGGCATAACGACAGGCGCATACCGCACAGGTTGAGGTGGTGTGCGTCGGATCTGATTCACAATTACGAGATCCAGCAATTACGAAGAAATGTGGACATTGGCGAGGATCTTCATTTTGTGTACTGCTGGCCAGATCTGACGCAGCCGCAGAATCGCGAATTCGCATTGAAGAAGAATCTGTCCAAGGATGAGGTATGGATTGATCTCTTCACAGAAGTGTTCGACATGGTTGAGGAAGGCTCTCTTCACCTAAAATCGGGTGAAGCTGAGCGGCTGGAAGAAATCAGTTATTGGCCCATGCAGTGCTTTGGCTGGGATGCAGCAGACCGATTCGACGCTTTTCGGGCGAAGCACGGGGTTGCTGATGGAGACAAACCCGCTGCCGACGGTTCGGAAGACGACAAGGAAGACGAGTCAGGGGACGACTCAGAACAAGATTCGGACGACTCCTCGGACCAGAACGAGTACGAAAGCGAGGGAATTGACGACGGAAGCATTCACGAGGAGTCCGTAGATGAAGATGAGGACGATTTAGTTATCGACACGCAACAAGCAAGCGATGATGAAGAAGGGGGCGGAGGTGTGTCAGACTACGGTGGCTTCTCTCCTCTTGCAGATGAGGACAGCACGCTCTTCGATGGCAACGGCCCTAGAAACCCCGCAGCTCACTGGTCAAGCCCCGAGTCGGAATCAGGAGAAGACGACCAGCCCCGCGGAGGAAGGAGGAGACGACAGATCGCATCGTCCGACGAGGACGAAGAATCAGGGGAGGAGGAAGCTGAAGCAGAGGGCTCAGGCCGCAGCATAAGTCGACGTGGTCCAGTGATTATTTCCGACGATGAAGATGAAGGGGATGAGGAGCAGCCTTCCCAACCTACGAGTCGCCGGGGCCGCGTTATTCTATCAGACGACGAGGACGACGATGAAGAGGAAGTAGTGGAGAAACCCACGAAGCCCGCCGGTCGTCGTGCACGAGTCCTTCCCTCAGACGACGAGGACGAAGACGACGAAGACGACGATGAAGGTGGGGCTGACATTGCCAACAAGGAGGCACGGGAAGGATCAAACTCGGAGGACGAAGAAGAGGGCGCGAAGAAACCTTTATCTCTAGCTGAAAAACTCGCCCGCAACCGCCGCGACAACCCGGTGTCTGAAGACGAGGAAGAGTCTGGAGAGGAGAGCTCCGAGGAGGAGGAGGAGGAGGAGGAAGCCCAGCCCAAAAAGATGTCTCTCGCGCAGAAGCTCATGACGCACCGTAGACGGAATCCGATTGCCTCCGAGTCAGAGGACGAACCCGAGGGCAGTATCGTCGGCAGCGAAGATGATGACCTCGAAGACGAGGAGGATGAGGATGATGAAGACGACGAGAACGGCATGTTTATGAACTTGGCCGATGAGGGCGAATCTGGGGATGAGGAAGGGGACGAGGATGAATACTAGGGTTGAGCCTCAGTGGGAGGTTCACGGTAGCATTGTATAAAATTACGAATCTTCTTCCTCGGTCTCGGAGGATGGAATTGGGGCTTAGAGGATCTCACACGTACTCGCCGTCCATTTAGGTATATGGTGAGGTGGACAGGACAGCATTGAAAACTGACACAATGGGTTGAACGTTTCAACTTGAGTGAACAACGAGATCTTTCCCATGATTTGCCTAGTATTTTTCGTTGCATTCGTGTGCGGGTTGGCAGCATTTTTCCTTCACTCCCAACCGCGATTGACCTTAATACAAATGGCTTCCCATGACCAACCCCATCGTCGTGAAGGATGAGTGATATCCTGTTCTTGAGCGAACAGACTCGAGCATCTAGCGAACCCAAAGACATGCCTATCTGTCCTCATGTATCACATGCCTTTGATGTCTATTTTTATATATCATCCAATTTGTAGCAAGCTATTTTTATATTTCATCCAATTTATAGCAAATCTTTTATTTAGAGCTCTCCTGGGCCTCGTCTGTTCAGATTCTCAATTTTCCTTTCGGTATATTCGACATCTCTTTCGCAGATCACTTGAGAAGGGCGTCACATAAGACAAGGCATGGAAAAGCAAGCACTACGCGACCCTCGTAGTCACGACGCGAGTAGTGCTCGGGTTCGAATCTGACATACTGGGCTCGCCGCCGGTCACTGTTCAGAAAAGTCATTTCATACAAAGAGTTTAACATCATCTTTAATGAGAGGTCTCATAGCACCGCCACGATGAGCTTTCAACCCAACTCTTACAATCAAGGCATCATTGTCGTAGTGAAATGTATTCATATCTCATATCTCATTAAAGGTATCCAAACTATAACTAAGCAATGGTATCACCAAACCCAAACGCCTCATCAAACCCGTCGATCTACCCCCTCGCCCATATCTCACTGGTACCAGCCCTCTCATCTACTTCTGCCTCCCGGTAACAGCTCCAACAGCCAACGTCTCAATCCGCCCGGAATACAACTTCATGACATGGCAGACCGGATCCCCCCAAATCACACCCCTCAGCTCCTCGTCAGACACAGTCTGCGCGACGACGCCCTCATCAAGCCTCTCCGCCACCGTCTTGCGGTCCCTCGGCCTCGCCTTCGGGTCTCCGCCCCGCAACACAATGATCCTCCCCGGTGAGCTCAGCGTCCCAGGCGGGAGATGCCACACCGGCTTGCCGCTCCCCTCCCTCCTCCTCCTCTCCCGATCCCTCTCCGACTCCCTACCAGCCGCATGCGGAACCAGCGACATCTTACTCTCCTTATTCCTCAGCGACATCTTGCTCGCCTTGGCAGCCAATCTCCCCTTCTTCTCCCCCCCAGACTCACAGCCCCCAGAAAAATTCGTCACCGACGGCGCCGGGCTGGCGTACAACTCCAACAAACTCTTCACATACGCCTTATCCGCCCTCGGAATCGGATCCCCCTCATTCACAAACGTCAAGAACAGACTCTTCCTCAGCTCCGCCCTCTCCGGCCTCTTCAACGGCAACAAACTCACAGGCGGCGTCCCAAACGTGACGCAATGCACCCTCTTAAAGCACCCCGTCAACGCGTTCAGCTCGCTCCCGGCCCTGGGCGACGTAGACAGCATATGCGCATACAACAAGCTCGCCACCGCCCCGCCCGCAGAATGCCCCGTGATCAGCAGACTATACGCCGCCCGCCCCGGGTCCTCCTCGAGTAACTGCCGCAGCCGCGCCGCGACGGGCTTCACCATCTTGCGCGCGACCGCCAAAAAGCCGGCGTGGCACGAGTTCCCCGCGTCGTCGAGGAAGCCGTCGGGGGACGCCGGTGCGGTGTTGAGGTTGACGGCCCAGTCCATGAAGGTGGCGGAGCCGCGGATGGCGAAGACGATGGTGTTCATGTGGTCCATGGGGACGGACTTGATGACCATTGCTTTCGTGCCGGTTTTCCAGTCTGCCGAGACGTGGGCGTCGCGCTCGGCGCCTTTGGGGTGGTCGTAGACGCGTTCTGCGTATTGGGCGGCCATGCAGAGGAGGGGCCAGGTTGGCATGTAGCTGCGGGTGTGTCAGTCTGTCTCCTTCCCAAAGATCTTGAATGATGAGGTTTCCTGTATTGAGGGTCACTCACAGTCTCAGGGGCGGGAGGTTCATTGGCAGCTTTGAGTTGGCGTATAACTCGACTTTGGCAAAGTAACCCCCCGACACCACACACGTCGCCACAGCCGCAGATTGGCCCTTTGACCCGGACGAAGAAGTTTCCTTACTCTTCTTCTGCTGCCCGCTCTTCTCGCCTCTTCCCCCGCTTCCACCGCTCCTCTTCCCATCTCCCGACGACGTGGACTGCTGCACCGCGCCGCTTCCACCGCCGCCATTCTGGTACGTGAACAAAGCCTTCTCGTTACCCACCATCCGGTCCCGATCAATCAGCGTCATAACATCGTTGAAGCACCCTGCAATCTGGTCGACGCACGCAGCGGTGGAGTTGATGAGCTGCGTGGCGTGCGGGTGGAAGTTTGGCTCCTCGAGGAAGTTGGGGGACGTAAAGTCTTTGGCGATGGTCACCACGGAGCCGGTAAACTTGTCCAGGCCGATGGGGTGTCCGGTCGCAGTTGACGTCGTCGGTGCGGTTGGCGGCGCGGGGAGAGCGAGGTGTGATGGTGGTGGGTGGAGGTAGTAGTGCTGGTTCACCACGATGGGTTGTTGTTGCTGAGGGTATTGCTGTGACCAGCCTTGCGGGCGATGAGGCTGCTGCTGTTGATGAGGATGCTGTGGTTGTGGATGGCGATATGGAGGCGGGGGATGTTGGTACTGTCCCTGGCTTCCCGGCTGAGGCTGCCAGTACGGCGGCGTCTGGGTCGTCGAGGTAGCATATCGTGAAGATTGCTGCGTGGGTGGATGTGGTGGTGCGTGATATTGGGAAGGGTTTATGTTTTGGTGGTGGTTATTCATTGGCATCGGTTTGACCGGCTCGGGGCCATGCTTGACGGCCTTTTTGCGGTCGAACCAGCCCATTGTGAAAGAAGCATTCAAGACACTTCCAAATAGTCTCTGATTTCCTCTTCTGATGTTGTTCTGCCTTTTGGGTGCTGTTGGACTGGAATTCGCGAATGGGGTCTTGCCCGTCTGCCCAGATTCGCGATCTTTGGCGTAGGCGTTGTTAAACTTTCTACCGGCAGCCAATCTTCGAACAGTTCGGGAGCCAAGTCTAGCGCTCTGCACAAGAGTGGATTGGTAGGAACTAGGAAATAGCAAGGGAACTGCTCTTCTGTATCTCTTGGCTGGCTTAATAAGATTGAGTTGTCCCAGGCACGAGGAACCTCGTCGCCAAGAAAACAATGAAGCGGTCTGGCGGCAGAACAGGTTCGTGTATGACAGGCGGGGAACACGGGAACAAGAAGTAAGGCGTCCCGGTTATCCTGTGTACCCAGTCGTTCGGTGTCGAGCGGGATCCTGCTTTTTCCCTTCTCCGCCTTTTCGATGTTCGCTTTGCCTCGGTGTGTTTGAGCAAATGGGGATAATCACAAGTCAAAGTCGGAGACGAGTGACCTTGCGCAGCTGAATCCCGTCTCCCAGAGCCGGTAAGTTGCGGACAAAGTGAGAAACCTTGTCTTTCAACCTGGGTACCTAGACGAACGGGCGAGAAAGCGTGACGCGATTATGTCCAGTCTTCCTGTGGTCGCTACTGAATCAGAAACGCCTGCGCCTGCCCTTTGGTAAAGCAGAGTGACACCAATTGTCCCGGCGTTTGCGACTGCGTGTAGCTATCGCTCTGTTCGGGGGCGGGCACTGGAATGCAATCCGTCGGTGCGATTTCGGTGGCGATCTGGCCGCGGCCGAGACGGTGGCTTAGACGGCCGCGGGGAGGGTGGCCGGCAGAAACGGGATGAGAGGTGGAAGGGATATCCCCTCACGAGAATACGCAGCTGAAAGAAGATGTCATAAATCGTCCTGGAGTATATAGCAAACTCCGGACGAAGAATCGTCAGCCGCACACGACAAGCACAGATGAATGCAAAGAAATGGAAGACCAAGTGTAAGAGAGAAACGCGGATATCCTCCGATTCTTCTATTCATGTGCCACACCATCAATGGGCGCCAGTTGAGCAAATCACATCGTTAAAAAAAGTCATGTGTCTCCTCTTAGGGGCCTCCTCTTCACCCTCTTTACCGACCACCGCTCACCTTTCCCGCCCCTAGATCGCGCCAGGTCCGAGAATCCCATGTCGAAGAGGGGGGCTCTAAATAGCACCCTTAACCATTCTATCGTCTCTGATCATCATCTACTCCAAGTACCCAAACCATACAAACCACACCCAAAGAATACAGACTAAACTGTGAACCACCATCATCAACACGGGCACTACCCATATCCCCCTCCCAAACTGTCCCAAACGGCGTCTCCCTCCCTTGGATAGCTTGAGTAGACTTGAGTTGGACCCCCGTCTATCCAACCTGATTCGTCACCGCCCAACCAGTCCGCGCTCTCCCATACCAGGGGACCTGCACACCAAGCGCAGCAACCCCTCCATGCCCTCCCACCCTATCTCCAATGGGTGCGATGCAAGTTCGAGCCCAGCCCAGGGTCCAATACTACATTATGGAACTATGGGCACTATGGCGAGTAGACTAACAGCCCTGACTCCGTCCTCGCATAGCCGATTACAGGCGCCTCCTCTGCGATTACACGCTTGTGGAACCCGCCCGTTACACCTTGATTGGGAGACGGCCAAAGCTCCCCTATGCATTTCAAACACAGCCCTCTCGGATGTCTCTGTAGGGAGCGGTGGTATTGGAGATGCACATGCAACACTGGACAAATCATGAGCCTCTGGCGTTTTGAACAATCATGCTGAAGCATCTCATACGTCGAAAGGGAAAAAAGAGCATACAGAGCCACTGAGCGAGAGCCTGCATTCATGACTGGCACATACGGATAGATACATGGATTGTTATCTAGAGTTCACTCCCAACCACCCAGCTTTACAGACAGGTCCATAACCGACCAATACTCGACAAGTCGCAAATCAGTTCCGAGGTATTTTTCATCTTTTATTTATTTTTTTTTCAACTGCGTACATGCGCGTAGCCGCCCAGAAACGACGCTACCGCCTCTCAACCCCTCATTGCTCACAAACACCCTTGTATGCATTCTCTGTTTCCGTTGGTCGTACGGGTTCGCAGAGTACCACCAAAGGCGCACATGGGATGTTTTTTCTCGTCCATCGTGGATCGCGAGATGAATGTCCGGAAAAGCCTGCAGAGCATGTGATAACAGGGGTAAAGGGAATTGAAGCCATGGATATTTGCCGTGACTCAGACTTGGAATGCTGAATGACGGTGAGCCCAATGTAACTACTTTCTCTCCCATTATGCGCGATGATTAAACCGCTGTGAACGGCGCAATTAACGGCGATAGCCTGGGCGGTAGACGGGGTCGACAGTTCATCTAGATGAGCGGTCTGTTCATACTTACCTGACTATCACGACCATCACGCCCCCCGACTAGTCATCCTGCCTATGTGAACAATAAACCTCAGATAGTGTATGTTTCAAAATATCGCTTGATCAGTGTTCGCAGTACGGATAGAAGTAAAATAGCCGACCGGATGTGCTCAGCGGGGAACTGTTTTGTCGGGCACCTGAGAGTGTTCATAATTAGGAACTCGTAAAGCAACTTACATACTACACCGCAAAGATGCATCTCCAGAATGCATGCGTTCTTCTAATAAGCATCTGGCCTATGTGAGAGCAAATGACCATGTCAACTTATCGAGCCACTAGCAACGCTCCCATGATGCATTAATCGAGCATGTTAGATAAGTACCCATCTTACACACGAACTACTATCAAACACTGGTGAGATCACAAAACGAGCATGCAAATTCGTAAAACCCACCATCTCTAGCCCATGGCCATCTCTTTACCCTACACCAAAGGGTCAGGCCAAAAACCCTACCTCAAGTGCTTAACAACTGCCGAGAGGGGGGGCAGGGAATCGATAACCCCCAAAGCCAAGAGATTGGGACGAACGGCGCGGGCAGACGAGCAATCCAGAAAACCCCAAGTATCCCAGCACCCACACCGGCACCGGCGCCGCGCCGCCGACGCCCTTCCCGGCCATAGTTTCTGGGCACGCGGCGACCCGACGTGCCTGCAGCAACCCGTAAACCTTGTTTTTCCCAATACATGTAGTTATCATATCTTATCGTCGACTACGGATAGCGCAAGGCAGGCAAGGTAAGGTACTCACTCTCATAGGCATCTTATCATAAAATCAGGTAGTCATATCATCCTCAACATAGACATCACAAGGACCACGTCAAAAGACAGATAATCTAAACAAAGGCACAACTTTTTTTTTGTCTTCATTTCGCTAGACGAAATCGCTACGGACATGTAGTCCACCTATCCACAGACTAAACCTCGACATAAATACAGCCCTCCAACTCAGAGGAGGGAAGATTGATGGCATGAGGACAAGGTCCACCAACAAGTGGTTGACTAGACAGCCCAGCAAGCAACTTGTCTCGACTCGAGAGACCCTTCGAAAGTTGACCACCAAAAAACAAGACACAATTCCCGATGAAAACATACACATCAGACCGGACTTTGAGGATCCCGCATGCTTCCGCTGCCGCTAGCGCTTCCACTATGAACGCTGCTGCCGCCAGAGCCTGACCCAGCGCCGTCGCTCCGTTGACGTCGCGTAAAAGCAAACGTGACGGGCGTGCGCTGGGCCATGGGCTGCTGCGCAGGCGTGTTGTGGAGCGACAAGAACTCGTCGTCGCCGTTGCTAGACTGCGTGAACCCAGACACATCGCTAAGCATCGAGGAGGAGCGGCCCCTGGCCTTGAGAGAGACAGTGCTCTGGTGCGTAGGCGGATAACCCCACACAGGCTGCATAGAGGACGCTGGCAGCGGCAACACAGAGCCGGACGCGGTCATGGTGGACGTGGGCCACATAGGCCCGGCGGGCATCACATACTGCGATGCGGCGGCGGACGGCGGTGTCCAGGCCGGCGCGGCGGGATTGTAGGCGGATGACGTGGTCTGAGACTGGGCGGAATGACGTTCAGGGAGATCGTAGGGCATCGCGGCAGTCGTGGCGTAGTTCATGTGCTCATGATATGCCTGGAGCTGCTGTAGCAAAGCGTTTACTTGCTCCTGCTTGTTCGCGTTGGCCGCCTTGATATCCGCAATGCTGCCCCGGAAGTTATTCTCAATCGTTGATGTCTCCGCCTGCCAGGCGATCCGGGCCTGGCGCCTACGTTCGGCCTCGTCCAGCCCGCGGTTGTTGGCATCCGTGATTCTGCCCAGCTCGGTGTCCACCTTGGCGATGCGTGCTGCAATCTTGTTCCTCTTGGTCTGCGCGGCAGCCTGCTCGTCCTCCTTGGCCTTCACAGCCTTGGCGATGGCGGCCTTGTAGTCTTTGTATTCTTTGGAGGCGGTATCGAAGATGGCCTTTTCGGCAGCCCACTCCTTTTCCGTCTGTTTCTTGCGCTCGTAGAATCCCTCAGGTGCTTTCTCAAACTCCTTGAGCTCTGCTTCGAGCTGGGCAATCTCCTTTTCGGATTGGGCTTTGTTGGTCTCTTGCTGGATAATCTTCTGCCTGTGCTTGTCGTCGTTGCCACCGGCGGTCTGAATCACATTGTCGAGTCTCTCGTTCTCTTTCCGTAGCGCGGCAATCTTGTTCTTCCACTCCTTGCGCAGCGTCTTCAGCCTAGACTTCTCTTCCGCCAGCCGCTCGTTATTCGCGTTGATTGTGCTCTTCAGCGTCGTCGCGGGCGAGTCGGGGCGAAGAGACTGTGGCGTGCTGACGGGCGGGTTGACGGAGCCCTCTTGGTCCTTGTTGGGCGCAAAAGAGGTTCGGATGCTGGTGGAAAAGACAACTCGATTCGTGCGTGTATCGACAAACTCGCAGACGTACTTGGACAGCGGCCGCAGTCCGTAAATGTCACCACACCACCGGTGTTGGCTGGATTGCTCGTCTTGGTCGTCGTCCTGGATGCGGAATATACGTGTCGGCTGCCAGAAGGCGTTGTTTACTCGGACGTAGAAAGGTTTTGAAGTGTCGACTCCTGCCGGCCGCGAAACGTGCCCATTCGGAGCAGCGCTCAGGCTGTCGGGAAAGTAGCTGGTGTTAAAGCAAACCTCATCGTGCCCAATATACGATATCCAAATCTGTTCGGCCTGACTGTCAAAGGGGGCATTCCCCAAGTTGTGAATGTCGGTAGCGTTGGAACCGGCGGACTCGGAGGTAGCGTGCGATAATTCGTACTCCTTAACCATGACAATTTTGGTACTCGCTAGGGCCGCCCACAGCGGCTGCTGAAGACGCACCTGTGTGCTTTGTTTTCTCTTCTTTTTCGTAGATGATACCGTCGCATTTTGTTGGAAAGTCGTGTCGCTGTCTGGCGTAGCAAACCCTGTGTCGGTGGTCGTCTCATTCGAGTACGACTTACCGGCCTCCGGGTCCGTTATGCTGTGTGCCGACGGGCTTCCCTTTTCTCTTCTCAAATACCACTCTCTTATGTACCTCACTATGCCCTGCGTTAAAATATGTATGGCAAGCACGCTCTTGATCCACCCGTGCGGTCCTCTCTTATCGAAACCGCGAGTGAATGTTTCTAACGGATCGTCAGAGTCGGGAGAGAACCGCCAATTGGCCGGGAGGAACTTTGTTGCCCGAGTCCAGTGGAATCTTGAACCGCGTAGAAGATGCGAGCCTATGACCAGGAAGAAGCAGGTAGTGACGCTCCTTGACGCTCCCTCCCTCGTGTTGGATCCACCACCCAAAGTGGCGGCGATGACGGGCTTGGCAAAGTCGAGGATGGCGAGCTGCATGGGCGGCCACAGAAAGAGCCACACGAGCAGTATGAAGACATCCATGCAGAGCACCGTAACGAGGGAGGGCATGGTGGAGTTGTAATCAAAGATCTCGGCGAGATTGATGTTCATTCCAGAGCTCGTGGTAACAGGGGGCACAAAAGTGAGGAAGGTGAAGACCATGTAGATACCGGAGAGGGCGACGGGAGGGACCTGCATGAGCAGGATGAGGATGGCAAGGGTGTCGTAGAGAGGCAGAGCCCTCAGAACGGTAGCGGCGAACTCGATGGGGCCACCGGGGTCGCGATGGACGTCGGCGTTCTTGGTGGCGTTGACATCAATCTGGCGGTGGCTCGCGTCAGCAGCACCATTGCCCATGGCAGAGGAGAGCGAGTCGGACGAGGAAGTCTCGGAGCAACCGCCTAACGAGGGCCGCCTGGTAGCGGCATGGCCATTCCGGTGTTCAGGGGCCATGGTGTTGCCGTTGTGGTCGGAAGCGGGCGCAGCGAGGTTCGGGGTCTTGAGGTGTCCGTTGGAAGTGCCGTTGGGCAAAGGCGAGGGGAGAGCCGGGGCAGCAGCATTCTGGTCAGACGACGTCCTAGCTGAAGCGTCGAGGTTCGACTGGCTCTTCTTGTTGGCAACTCGCTTGGCGGGGCCTACAAGACCATTTTCGTGCCTGGTATCGCGTTGGTTGGCGGCGCCTTGCTGTCGCTTCGCAGAGCTGGAAGCACGAGGCATGCGCTGGGAGGATATCTGCTGTCCGCCGACCCGGGAGCCCTTTCAGAGGCAGGTCGGGGGGCGCCAGCAGCACGACTTGAACTGGTCTGGATGCTGGAGGAGGGAAAGAGGCGAGTGAGCGAGATCCCGTTCTCGAGAGCGATCGGGACGAATGTGGCGTGGGCGAGGTCGAAGATGACGGAGAGAGAGAGAGAGACAGAGAGAAAGGCGACTATGCACTCGACGCAAAGGAGAGCGCAAGGACGTAGATATTCGGAGGAATACCGCGGGGCCTCATGCGTCGTGGCTCACGGCAGCAGGTCGGAAGAGGAGGGGAACCGAAGGAGGGTGGGTAGGTGGGTGGTTGAGGTTCCAGAGAGGCGGGACGGTGATAATGATGGTTGAGTTGTTGTTTTTTCCGAACCTTGGAACGGGGGGGGGAGGTTTGTGTGGTGGTGGTAAAGTAAAGTGTTGCCCAGATTACTCGCGTCGGGAAAGGTTCGGTAGGTGGGTTGAAAGAGCAGCGATGCAAAGTACCTTAGGGAGGTACTGTATGTACTGTGTAGGTAGGCACGTAGGGAAGGAAAGGTACCAATGGAAGGAAACAGGGGGCCACTTGGTAAGAGGAAAAAAACCAGGCAAAGCCGCAAAATAGTGCGGAAGGCGCTGTGGTGCTCGGGTACCTTCCAAGTTTATTCGTAGCCTTGGGTAAGCCCACAAGATACTTTGGTACCTTGGCCACTTAGGTAAGGTACCGGGGGGTGAACAGACAGACAAAGAAGGACCTGGCCTGACCTGAGTTGGCAAGGGCGGCACGAGTTCGGGTAAGAGCCGAGAAATGGGGATGAACTGAGGCGTCAAAGAATTCAAAGTCAGTGGAAGAAAGCCCTCTCTCTTTCCTCCCATTCGTCTCCGCGTACTCCGTATTTGTAAGGTGACTGTATTCCGGAGTAAGGTAGTATGCCTATACAAACAGTAGCAACACATACAATTCGTTGTCCGTGAAGAGGAATTTGTGGTGTGTTGGTTCCTTTTGTTTTTATTCCTAGGTTTTGAGAACTCCCCTTCCCCTCTGCAGACTGCAGCAGCCAGTCCCGGGACATCGAGCAGAGGTGTTAGGGGCAGAGCGCCTCGCTTCGAGTTTATTTTAAAAAAGACTGCGCGGGAACAGCACGAGAGCAGGGATGACGGATGGTGCGGGAAGGGATCCAGTCGCACTGTTTCGCCTTGGGTGGGTGGATGGGTACGTATCTCCTTGTCGATACGTATCCGAGGACTGCTTTACATACATTTTTCACTGGGTATTTTTTTTCATGTTCCTTTCACTTTTCTCGCTGTTCCTCCCGGTCTGATGAGGTGTGGGGAGGCACTTGGGCTCAAGTCCCCTCCAAGTGGAGTCCTGACTGGATCAATCCGTCCTCAGGAGCTGTTTCATTGGTTCATGACTTCCAGTATGGAGATAGGGTCCCTTCTTCTCTGACCCACTCACAACTCTTCTCCACCCTCCCCTCGACCCCCCCGATCAGAATCAGAATCAGGATCTCGGATCTGGACCTGGGCAGTACTTGTGACTCGGTCAAATAATGTCTAGCTCAACGGGCAATTTCCTTTCGTGCTCTTGTACATTGGGGTACCCCCGACCGAGGCAAGCCGCAGTTGCCAGCGCCGGGATGGATCATGGAGGCCGATCCAAGGTTGCTGATGGGATGAGATGCCGTTGGCGGTCACGCAGTTCTGCAGCCCTCTGGACTCTGGGGCCGCCGCCAAAAAAGTAAGATTACAGGGGGCCACCGGTGCTGAAGCAGCTAAATGAGCGCTGACTGAGTGCTGGATGGCGAGGTCACGACATGCAGCATGCAGTGATGCACCCTCGGTCTGGCTGGATAAAGTCGTCGTTCGGACAGGGTCCAGAATCTCTGTTGTTCGTGATGTGGATTGACTACGGAGTATAGAACGGAGTATTCTTATGGGAATGCATTCGCATACTGAGGTTACTTTACCTACCATAAGTATGTAGGTAGGTACCTAGGTTATCGTAAACAGGGCTGGCCAAGCACGGGAGATGCAGCGCATTGCATAGCTGCTGCTCCGGCCTCCAGCTCCCAGGGCCTGGCATAGGATGGATCCCCAGACGGAACGGAAAACACGCAAGGCAAGAGATCGTGTCCTGCATTACCTGACATTGCGGCATCGTGCTGGGATATCAATGTAAGGTATTTCTATCCGTAGTTTTGTTCCGTCATGCCTTCCGCCCCTTCCGTGCTTCACTGCTCACTGTTCAGACCAAGTATTGGTTGTATAAGTTGAGGTACCTGAAGTAGGTACCTTAGACACAGGCAGGAAAGCAGAGAGATTTCTTCCACTGAATAGAGAAGTTGCGAACCAACCTACCTTACCTTAAGATAGGGTACTCCGTATGGACATTGAGTAAGTACCAAAGGCAAGGTACCTGGGTAGGCAGAAAAAAGGAAGGCATCGTGGTCGTGTGCCTTGTCAACTTCGTACAAGTGCCTGCCTCCGGGAACTACCAATGTCCATTGCTTCCTTCCCTGCCTCATGTGTGGTGTGAGGTTGAGAAGGTGGTCCCCTCCGTGCTGTGCGCCTCCTTCCCATAGATCAATCGTCATATCCCAACTCTAAATTCCCTTCTTCATTTTACTCCTCCCAAGTCGCCAGGTCTTCTCCCCAATCATTCCAAACATCAACCATCCCTTACACAGTATTCCCACGGATACCAGTGAACGATACATTTCTCTCTTCTTTCGACATCCCCGTCATATTCAGCGCCCCTGACCACCATCCGCCACTACGAGCCTAGGTACGACCGCGCCGTCGCTGGACTCACTGGAACGTCCTTCTTCTTTCGTCCCTAGTTCGGTCCCCCGTCGTCTTTTCTTCGTCTTGTCCACGGCTTCTGTCACCGACCGTTGTCCATGCTGTCAATCCTCCGCAACACCCATCATCGCTGTTCGCATGACGACCCGGCTCAGCTGGAATCTTTGGGAACATACCTGGAGGCGTAATGAAAGAAGACACTGGATGATATCCGCTTTGCCTCTGCCTGATCATTATACCTAACTCTGTCCTTTCCAGACTGTTCTCAATCGTCAACCCCGTTTATCGCTCCTGTTCACCGACCTTGACGTATCACGACACATGCCCTTGAAGGCACTCGCGCATCGATGCATAAATCAAGCAATAAGTAATGGCACTTGCGTCGCATAGTCATGCCGCCAAAGCGATGTTCAGAGCCAACATCGGGGCTACTGCCAACGGCCCGGTTAAGCTGAGCTGAACGCCCATCCCGTAATCTCTACCAACATGTGCCTGGTTTCTGTCCCTCCAAAGCAAGCTAGGCTGGTACACAGCACTATCTCCACTAGCACCGACACACAGTCATTGTCAGGCCGGGCCTTATTGTCTGCAGGCTGTCTGGGCGGTGGACGATCTCTTCGTGCTCGTCATCCCACATGTCGACGCAACCTGGCCATCACGCAGTACGGAGTACTTAGCACCTTGGAACACGACACGATAGGATGGACCACCAGTGCGTGTACTACCTCCCGCCTTCCTTGTCACCTCGAGACTAGGCTCTCCCCGCTCTCGCAGACCACCCCCGCGCACTCAAAATTTCTTATCGCTTTCCCAGCGAGCCACGAGGACACCTCAAAGACAACCATCGCCTGTCCGCCCCGGCCGAAGCTCGACATCATTCACCAATCCTCGCTCGCCATAGCCCGTTCCCCAGGCGCACACCGACGATCGTCAAAGTATGCTCCACATCACGCACCGCTATTCCGACGGAAATATATTCGCCTCAAGGGCTACCATTTCGGTCTCCCCCTTTGAGGGGCACGATGCCACGCATCCACGGTTCCGTCAACCACCAGCCGCACAACGTGCCTTCCGTTCTCTGGTGCCCACTGTGTGTAAACGTACCTATGTGAGTCTCCTCCGGCGCTCGGTGGCCTGACGTTCCACGATCACCATCTTGACGCCGACAATCGGGGCACAACTTCACAAGTCGAAACGCTCTTCGGTGAGGCACCAAGCACGAGGCACGGAAACGTGGGGACGAAACCAAGGAACCTGGCAAGACGAGAGTGCCTTGACCCCTTGGACCCCTCGCACAGTGAAAAGCATCACGGGCGAGCGACAAATCCAGCGCTAGCCCTCCAGAGCGAGCGCACCCAAAATCACCAAACACCACCACCACCACCTCACGGACCAGTGTCCAATTTCAGGGCAGCCATGGATCAGGGCAACGATACCACCAAGCCAGAGGACAAGTCGACGGGACAGGAGCATCGTGGGTGGGGCTTGTGCTCGGCCGCGACTCGACGGCAAAAGACTGAGACTCGTATGCAGCAATGCATATTCGTCTCGTTATGTCTCGTGGTTGACAACGCACCATCACATTGCACTCGCACTGCACTCTCACGTCTGCTCACATTCAGTAGTGCAATGATTTCTGCGAGACGTGCAGCATATCATTGCCCTCATCCTGGCACGAATGGCAACAGACTTTTGGGAGGGCAGATTCCCCATGTCGATCATCAACTAGTCGAGGAATGTCGCATGCGTAGCTTTCTGGGCACTGCGCCAACCACAGCATCGTTAAGGCGGCATTCGCTCGAGCCAATTCCTCGTCAGATCCAGCATGATGTGACATGACGGGGCCAGCTTGACACGCCGACGGCCTACAGAGCACTACTACGTATACGGGCACGTACCGGTACAGGCACAACGCTTTGCACGCGACTGACGAGTCTCAATAGCGACTGGCAATGACTACGAATACTGCTGATGGCTGGACACGGCTGTGGTCCGGAGATCCGCATCGCTGTTTTCGACCCCGTCGCAGGCCCTAGACAAAGTGGTCCTGCCCTCGCAGACGCCCATGTCTTTGTCGCCTTTGCCCGGCTGTCGTCGATCTTCTTTTGATTCGAAACATAACAAAGCCATTTCTGGAAATAACCTAGACAGTGCGCGTCGGCCATCCCTCCTCTCCGCTGTCAATCACCTTATGGTCTCTCCGAAAGAGCCGGCGAGGTAGTGAACGGCCGCCGACCGCTGACCGCTGCCGATGACTTAGTTGAGCCCCTCCATTGAGCCAACATCAAATCTACATCCGGCCTCAATTGAACCCGCGGGGCGGACGAGACGGGGTTGCACAAGTGTCGACGGGGCATATCCGTACTATTACGGACAGGAGAGAGAATTTGGCAATTCTTACGGCGCTTCCATCTTTATCGATAATCAGCTTGCAGGGTCAAGCTTTTCTTGCCGCCATCTCCACCCGTTGAGCTAATTATACTCCGATCGAGATGACAGGTATCCCACCCGGAAAAGGAGGAGGGACAAAATCGAAAGGAGCAAGACAGTGCGGCAATGCAACCACATCCTAGACCATCGTCAGGCGTCTCCAACCTGCTCGACAAGTCACGACAGAGGTGATTGGAAAATACTCCCTGTGATGGTGGTGAACCCTTGCCCCCAGGTCTTGAGCATAAACGGCGAGGAACAAGAGGGAGCTAGGCGCAGAGAGGTAAAGCAAGTCGATCTGCCTGTCGGCATTTGGCTGCTACCAGCGGCGCGCCTTGCTGCCAGATTACCTCCCATGTCACAGCCGGTGGACTGCTGACTCGGGATGCCGGGGAGAGCAATTTGCAGTCGAATCACCTGATTCGTGGTGCCGTAGAGAAATTCTCCAAAGAGTCAGTAACCAAGCGTGGGTTGCGGGTGTCCTCACCAGGACTTTGTATCACTATTAGTGCCTAACAATGGTAGGACTTGAAGTTGAGGGGAGAGTTGGAGGGAGAGGAAGAAGCGATGTTACGGCAATCTTCCCACCCATTCCCTGCCGCTGCAGCAGCTATACTTCACCAATGGATCTCGACTACAGCAAGAGACTTGATGGGACAATGACCTCCCCAATCATGGATAGCGAGGAGATACGACTAGCACCCCGTCAACTGATCTAGCATCGAGACTACAACCCCCGGGAATAAGCTTCAAGACGCCAGCCTTCCTGCAGCACAAGCTACGGCACGCCTCTCATGCAGCCCCAGGCCCCAAATCACCTCAACACGCAGCACTGCAGCACTGCAGCAGCTCACCTCACTCACCACCGCAGCCTCCAGAGCTTACACTTGCAAAATCGCGGCTCCTCCCCCTCCATCTCGACGAGGGAAAAAGACTTGGCGGCTCATGATCCGGTCGCGAGCTGATTGGTGCCTTGCAGACCGTTATATTTCTGCGGCTGCTTAGCGGGGTCGACTTTCCCCTCCACCGATGTCCTTTCGCACTGTGGTGCTGACTCTAAAGGCGGTCTGCAGGCTATAGCACCGCTCTGCCATCTGGTCGTATGGGTACGGATATACACAACGAGAATACCCATGTACGGATGCGTGAGGCGACACAACGTAATAGCGCAAGGGCGGTTCCGTGCGATGCGGATCTCCCGGTGGGCTCTCTGCGCCGCCCCTCTCGGAGCGAATTTGAATTTTCCAGCGGCGGACACCGGACGCGAGGCCAGCCGGTGCGCCGTATACGTCTGGAAAGATAATTTTGAGAAATTTTTTCACGGAGCGAATTCCTACGGAGCCTCTGATGCTCTTTTCCAGAGCCTGTGCCGCCGAGAAGACTCCGTGACGCTACACGCGTATGGAGCAGGACGGACAATGGTTATTGATGCCAGGACATGGAGCTCAGTGGCACCATTGTCCTTGGCAGTGAAGAGTCCTTTTCAGCCGTTCCAATCACTGGTCTCCAGATCACATGTCAACCCGACCGCATCGATTCATATCGATTCATTCTACGCGCTCAACCCGTGCCAGCATTTTTGCAATGCATACACCAAGATGAGATCTGGCACATAATCAGGGGTTTTTACGATCACAGCGTCGAGTAGTTGCGCGCGGTACCTTTCTGAGTCTCTAGCTCAACGACTGGTATTTACCAGGGGCCAATGCTAGGGATATGTTCCGGCGGCGTGCTTTCTATCGTCTATTCGGCAGATGCTTGAGTATCTCATGCGTCGCCCGTAGGGTCGAATGGCCTCAAGCTCCCTTCAGCCATCAAGCTGTCGCCCGTCATTCTGTCTAGCGGAGGGGCACGCTCGAATGGCGGGGTTAATTTCCTCGGCAAGAGGACCGCTTTCGCCTCGACTCGCCTGTAACTGATTAAATTGAACCAAAAAACCATGCGTCTTCTCGCCTCGCTCGACTTACACGAGCGACTTTCGCTCTTTCCGTCTCGGGTTTCCGGCTCTCGACCACGGATTCTGCTCGAGTCTTTGGTCCGATGGCGATAGTACCCAGTGCCGTAAGAAGTATTTGTGCACATCTCATACTCATATCTCGTTAGGGGGCGGCGCTGCCAAAGTCCTCCTTAGCGTCTGGTCTTCTCCATGTGCCCAGTTCCAGGATGGTGACCGTTTTCGCGATATATCTTGCAAGTCCATGTGCGTCGTTGCGCTGCGCGTCGGTGCTGGTCAAGTCAGCCACCCGCTTCAGTTCACGGCTGAGCCAGGGCAGCGGCTTTTTGTCATGGGTCAAGGTCTTCAGCTTTATCTTCAGGTCGGCTAATTTGGTGAAGTGCTTGTGTGAATAGATCACAACCTTGAAACGGAAGGTGGACCTTTCTTCGTAATCGTTTGACAGCAACCTTGTATATGCGCTGATAACTTGGGGCTCGAGCGAGAGTGTCTAATAGAGAAGGCTCATCAGCACATGCATGCTTGAGGGACGAGGGGCGGGGGGCGCAAAAGAGAGTGTGATGTTGTGGGCATACCGGGGAGGCCATGGTTTGCGGTGACGCTCCGTTTTGGCAGTACATGGTTGTCAGGGTCTCGTTGAAGGTTTGGTTGTCGCGAAGACGCTCCCACTCTAATCTATCTTGAGGATCTGCAGTCTCGAGAATGCGGTCCAGAAAACGGGCGATTGACTGCTCAGCGACTTGGGTCAAGGTAGACGTTTGAGATATACCCTACGAGAGCACACGGGAGCAACAGTCAGCGACGCTGTTGATACGAGTTGGTCCCACGAGGCCGAGATCGGGACCAGGACCGGCACTGGCGCTGGCACTGCTAATCGCAGACGGTGGATCAAAGACTCACCAGCCATGGACGATGACTCGGTTCGCCATCTCGCAGTCGGACAGTGTACGCCGAATTCTTGGGGTCGTGGAAGCCCTGCGAGACTGCGTGTATGTTACGCCATTCGTCGTTGATGGTCCTTAGGAGACTGGCCGCGCGTTGGGTCTGGTCTGGGTCGCAGCCAAAGGCGAGGCATTTCCCGATGCGCTTGTAGAGTTCCCGCGGACTGAGCGAGACTGTGTTTGGGAGTTGCGTGTTGTCAATGGATAGGGGCCATCTGCGGCCGGCCTTTGGGGGAGCTTTGGCGGCTTTGGGGACGGCGACGGCGGCGGGTTTTGCTTCGCGGGAGTATTCTGAGACTACACGGGATAGCATTGACTGCTGGAGCCGCGTTGCTGTAGACCTCATTTTCGGGAGACGCTTGCTCTGACGAGCGGGGAGCGTGAGGTGCGTTGGGATCGAGGTCGGAGTCGGATCGGCGATCGAGGTGCGACGTGTGAGGGTGAGGTTATCGAGGTTGGGGTTCGGTGTCGCTTTTCTGAAGGCGCCGTACCCTCCGACAGATGGACCGCGACGAGAGAAAGAGAGAAGTGTCGAGTGATGGCCGGCCTCAAGCTCCCAATGTCCTGTGGGTTTCGAATCGCGAGGTTGAAGATGCGGCGCAGTCCGGCTTTCGGAAAGCAACACGGCTGGGTTGAGCTGGGGGAGACGAACGGGTGGGATGAGGTTCAAAGTTCCAACCAATCACAAGAGCTGTTGGAGCTTGGTGGTGGGGATGGCACCTTGGGGGATGTCTTACATCATTTCGCCGAGGTCTGAGGCCATTGGAGCGAGCTGTCGACCTCATTGACGACGGCCTTGCGAGCCATGAGCGGGTGATGCGATAATTGACGGAACCACGCCATCTATGTACACCATCATTCACAACGACAACATCTAGAGACTGCGACTCTCTGCGATTTCGGAAGCTGCTCCGACAATAGTTCAAAAAGAGGATGAGTGTCGTGAATACCGAGTTGCGGAGGCGGGTCATTGCCATTTACAAGGGTGAGTTGAGATTCTTTTCATTATTGTTGTTCGCTTTACTCCAAATGTGAGCATTGCAATTGTTCAATCAAGCTATATCACGTAGCCTCGAGTTTGCCTGATGAGACAAGTTGCTACGATGTTTGACTATTCTTGTCAACATAATTTGTTGTGAAGAAAAAACCTGGGCTTTTCTAACCGTCTGACGCTGGCGCATCCTTACTCTACGGCAGATGCTTGTCCTTCGGAGATTGATGATCCGGTTGAGTTCCATCAATTCGACTGACCACAGAGCGATTAAGCCTAGAGCTCTCACTTGCAACATATCTTTTCTCCCTCGCCCTCTCTCTATTCACTGCCTCCCTCAAGAGTAGCCCTTCATCTCTCACCCCATCAACCACCAAGACTAGACTCACACAGCCACATCCTCAAGACGAATGAAACAGGCAAAGATAGCTGACCATCGAGAACAGAACTCCTCTACTTGGGCCGAGAATACCCCCTCGGCTACGATTACTTCCGCCCCCGCCTGAAAAAGGCGTTTTCTGCGAATGCTGCGTTAAAGGATGAGGAGGCTATTCGAAGGGGGATCGAGAGGGCCGAGTTTGTGAAGAAGGGTACGTTGTCCGTCTTTTTCTTTTATTCATACTCGGGCTTCTCCAAGGTTCCTTTTTCACCAGTTGCTGTCTTGCGGGTGTTTGTTGTTTACTATCTCTTACATGCCCCTTTGCCATCTTGTTTGGCGGGGATGATTGTCGCTTTGTGTTTGTTTCGTCCTCCATTGTGTGAGGTCTTTTGAGTAATGTTGGTGTTGATGGGAGGTGTCGCGGATGGAAGACGCAAGTACTGTGTTTGGGCTCGGCAAGTGCTGTAGCGAACCTTGACGGAAGCATGCCTATATCCTGACCACTGGGTGAGAGGTGGAGAGATGCGAGTCGCAGGCCGTGTGTTCTCAGTTCTTGACTCTATCTCCTGGCGCGGTCTGTCGACACCACGCTGGAGTAGGTATTTCCAGAGTGGAGATGGTGGCATCCTTGGTTCGTGGACAGATTCAGATGAGAACCATGGATGCTCGGTTGACATCAGGCTCTATGACCGCTCGTGACCGATTCCAAAGTTGGAGTTGGTTTCGTGGGTATTTCGTCTTTGCTTCAGAGGGACTCTCCGTCTTGCAATGACTCTTTCCTCATCTGGGTGTTTGGCCCACACCCAGGTTCTGTCTCCATGTTGGAGGACGAGTTGCATCTAGTGGTTAGTGGTGCACCGGGATGACTCGCGATGTACTACATGCCTTCTCGAGGTCCCCAATCACAGCTATCTAAACCGGATGCCGCTCTGTCCCGAGCGTGGAAGTGCTCTCCACGAATGTCTACCGTCTAGTTCAGCTACATCTAGTCCATGAACGCTTCTCCATTCACCCGAGTATTTTGTTTCCTTGGCTCCTCAAGTGGGCAGCATGATTTTCCTCTTCAGATTCACCAGAGAAATATCCTCCTAACCTCACCGTCATGGGTCCATCCCTCTGTATCTCATCCCTCCTTCCATCCACTTCCCTACTTTCGAAATGACCATATTGGGAAGCAATGAAGTCAAAGTGCGGAAAATAACAAATGGAGACCAAAAGGCTAACTTGAATAACTCTCAGAAATCGAAGCATTGTAAGTCCACCTACCGCCTCCCACCCGCGCCCACAACCTCCCCGTCTGCGTCCCCATCCAACTTTCGCAGCCTCGTTTCCGCAAGGACATGCAAATTGCCCTCCACCCCGTCAGACACACGCCCGAAGCGCTCGATGTACCTTACCTCGACCCGGGGCTCGGGAAACAAGTGAGACCAAGGCCATGGGAGAACCCATATCACCAGTTCCTTGCGAGTTTAATGCTCTTCTGCGAAGACGTAACGCTGTCCAACGCGTCCCCTTTCGAGCCATTCCGCCGTACCTCAACCTCTCCCTTCCAACACCCAAACCGGGTCCTTCCTCTAGGCGTGTTCCTTACAGAGCAAGTGCATTCTGCCCGGCGCCGATTTACTATGGTCAAAGTCGGATTACTACAACAGAGTCACAGCTCCATACATCCTCCATCTTCACCCTATCCCCCCAGAAAATAAGAAGAAACAAAACAGAGGGCTTGGTTCGCTACCGCAGCATACAACGAGTGACGATGCCACAGTTGGCAACATCAGAACGACCAAAAAAATCCCTTTCCCCTGCCTCTTCACATCCTCAACTTCACTCGAGACTTTGTCTAAGCCCCTGATTCGGTTACACTCACAATGATATACCATCCAAACCACCCTTACCAAGTCGGTCCTTGTCCCTCCCCCATCCTCGCATCCAACTCTTCCCCAACTTCCCATACCCATTGTCTTACAAGTCAACCTCGAGATGAGCATCAGTCGGCGATTCCCCTTCACGGCGAGGCAAGTCGCCTCCGTCGGGTGCCCGCATGGCTTTCATGCAAAACCCATCACTCTCTTCCCAACGCCAAGCCACTCCATGCATTCGAGGTTACAGCACATACTCCTCCAGCGCACCATAATCCCCGTCATTACTCTCCACTCTCGGCATCGTCACTTTAAGGCACACAGCACAGCAAGAGAAAGCGTAGTAGGGGGGATAAAGGTATTGTATAGTGATAAATGATGTGATAGGATATGTATGTATATATGTAGATGATGGGGTAGTAGATGACGATGATGATGATGATGATGATGATGATGGGGTATCTCGATGAACTGGATCTCTGACCTTTCCCCTTTGCTTCCTTTCCTGCCTTGTCCCTTTTTCGCCATCCCTTTTTGTTTCTCTTGTTTCTGGTAAACTGTATTCTGCTCTGTTCTTGACACTGGCGCTTCTTCGCCCTCGAGTCGCCATGATGCTAATCGCGCCACAGGTATTATCTCAAGCGGTATCGAGCGTTGAGGAAGCGTTACGTCCCAGATGCGTGATGCGACGAGCGTCTTGGGATGGGTGAAGGCATAGGCCAATGTTGAGGGCCAATCATTCCCATAGAGTCCAATAAACGGTCGCCGCAAAAACACGAATGCAAAAAAACTCCTTCTTTTTTTCCCGTCCACCATAACTTCGTCATGCGGCCCTTCATCGCTCCCTCTTGCGTGCCCACCAGGCACCGACTTCCAAACACTCTCCCCAACTCGTACCGTTCTCCCTCATGAGATCGTTCATCATCTTGCCTAGCCAGCCGTCCCATTCGTCCTGGCTCTTGCCGCTGACCTCGCGCAAGATCGGCTCCAGGCTCTGGATCTGCTGTACGACGGTCATCAAGGCCGTGCGGCGGAGCGCCGCCTGGGCCTCGGTCAACGTCTTCTTCTGCTCGTCCGGTTTGTCTTTGCCCTTGCCCTTGCCAGAGTTGATGAACGACTTGCCGTCCTTGGTCACGACACCGCCGACGCCCTCGCGCTCCCAGCGAACTTCAGAAAGTGGGATCGCCAGGCGCTTGCTTTGTATGTCAGTCAGCTCCTCGGATTCCTGGATGAGCATAGGACCGATGAGAGTGCAAGGCACAGGACTCAGATTGCGGGACTCGAGTGCACGGTGAACCCAACTGTTGTACTCGACGAGAAAGTTGTTCAGCGGCGCGCTCAAAGGGGTCTTTGCCGAAATGGGATACGCGCCGAGCGAGGCGACAGTGGCGGTGTCTTCGGTGTTGCCAGACTGTGGCGCGGCGTGGGGCCGCAACATGCGGATCTGGTGGTCGCTATCCCAGAATTCCACAGTGCCACCGGGGCGAAGAATGCGATGATATTCTTCAATGGCGTTCTGCAGCGCGTGCGGCGACGTCACGACCAGACTCAGATCCTTGACCATGACCAAGTCGAACTCGCCATCGGCAAACGGCCACGGAAAGTTGCGAATGTCGTGCTGCATGAATCGCCATTTCATGTCGCGAGATACGTCCCCCGCATTCTGCCCCATTGGGCCAATGTCCATGCCAGTGAAGTGGATATCTGGGTGGCCTCGTTGCGCGAAATACCGGTGACACGATTGACTCCAGAATCCGGAACCGCAGGCGACTTCGAGGACACGACCAGGCGGTTTGCTGGCAAATGCTGTAGAGCAGATTGGCGAACCAAACAGCTGAATGAGCAGCAGTGTGCGCAATGACTGGCGATGGATCTCGCTCAGGTCAACAGGCAACGGGTATGCCAATGACGGGTCTGATAGATATGTGCGGCCATTGCGCAAGCAGTAAGGGCGAGAGGCATCGAACGAATTTGTCGTGGGGTCGGAGGACGTCATTGTGCGGGTCGACATGGAGGCGGTTGAAGGAGCCGCCGACGAAAGACTGTCGGTACGGGAGAAGGGAATTGCACCGGCCTTGCCGGCAGTGAGATGACGGCCCGATGTGTCCGTGTCGACGAGCATGGCGACATGTTTTAGCTCATTCGGAGTGAGACCGATGTGAGATGGTGTAGGCGGTACAAGCGCGTGTCTCGCGTAGGAGCTTAAGGTGCCGCTTTCTTTGCGGAGGCGCGCCGGCGCCCGGATGCGAGTGCGGTCGGCACCAGCGCGTGTCTCTTGTAGCGAGTGGTGATGCTTGTGCTTCTTTGGAGACGCTGGCGAGGTAAGATCGCGCGGGTCAATGGGCGACGCAGTCGAGAGGGTCGTTGACGTGGGTGTGAGCGAGGTCTCGTGTGAGGAGCGTGACGCCGAGGACGATGACGATGTGCGGATATGCTTGAGACGGGTTGCGGGGTGGTGGTGGTGCTGCTGGTGCTGCTGCTGACCAAAGTGAGAACTGTTTGATGATGGTTGGCGCGACGGTATGCGCGAAGAATCCGCCGGGTTGGCCTTTGAGAAGAAGGACGAAGAAGAGGAAGACGGGGTGGGTGGTGCGGCGGCGGCGTGGGCGGCAGCGGGGGGTTTTGTTGATGTTGTTGACAGAGTTGTAGTGGCAGATGCAGGAGTAGTAGTAGTGGTAGTAGTGGTAGTGGTAATAGTATCTGTAGTTGCAGCACTAGCACCAACCGCCGTGTGTGGTTGTTGTTGTTGTTTGCTCTTGTTTGGGGTCAAGGTTGCAGTCGCAGTCTTTGGCCTGGTCGACTCGATGCGAGAAAGAATAGGAGGGACGGGGGCGAAGCTGGTGTACATGTATTGGGACATATTTGCAGAATCTTTCGCATCCACGAGTGCTTCGTCAGGAGGAGCGGCGGATTTCTGGGGCCCTTGGGCTTGGGACCCGGTTGTGCGTGTGGTTGTGGCTCTGGTCAGTTGGGTCAGTCGGGTCCTCTCTTCGTGTCTTGGATCCTCATGTCTGCCCTGCCCTCTCTGGGGCCGGGAAGACGACAATGAGACCCAACTCGCAGGTGGGAGCTCCAGCTCGAATGGACGGGGGGGAGGGGGCAGAGGAGTGGAGGGGGGGGGGGGGTTGTTTGGGGATCCGCAAACTGCGTGTGGATTGTGGGAGAGAGAGAGACGAGACTTTCTGGGAGTGGGAGCAGTGGAAAGGAGGCACAGAGACCGAGAGAGAGAGAGTGAGAGAGTCAGAGTCAGAGTACTCCGTAGGGGGAGGGAATTGGCGGCTGATTGTGCTTGTGCTTGAGCCTTGCTTGCTTGCTTGTGCTTGCCTGCTCGTTTGCCTTGCCTTGCAGCAGCAGCAGTAGCTTGGTTGCTTGCTTTCTGGGGTTTGGGCCTTTGGGGTGTGCTGAATTCAGTTCGGTTCCATTCCAGTTTCTGTTGCGACCTTGCAGCAGCTGGGGGGGAGACGATGGTGGATGTGATGTACCTGGTGGAAAGGGGGGAAGATCATGGATTGGAGGGGAAGGGGGGAGGGGCGTGTGAGTGTGTGTGTATGTGTCTGTCTGTATGAGTATATCTGTCCGGTGGAGGGGAAGAGAAGCATTCGGGTGGGAAAGGAAGCGGAAGGGAACGGGGGAGGGGGGAGGGGGGGAAGAGGAGGGAGAAACCAGGAAGGATATGTTTTTTTCTTTAATTTGGCATCGCCTCAAAGAGTCCATACAACCGCCATGTACTTACAGAACGGTCGGTATTTTTGAGAGCAAAGAAACCAAGACGGATAGTCCTCGTGGCTCTGGTGGTGGTGGTGGTGGCACAAGCAACACACACTATCCATGGACTATTCCGTTACGGATACACTACCCGCGCTCTCTTCTTCCCTCTCTCTCTCTGTCTCTCGGTTTTCTTTCTCTCTTGCTATTCTCTCTGTCTGTCTCTCTGTCTGTCTACAGATGCTCCGTAAAGATACACCGTAAAGATACTCTCGACATACATAGCAGATGCAGAGTGGCAGACAAAACCAAAAGAACAAGGGTGCATGACTTAGCGTACTGGTCTGTACGTACCTTGCAGCAACACCCACCAGCAGGGAGCCCCGGGGATGGGGTCAAGTAGGAACAGGCAGGTAAAGTTGAGTTGGGCAAGGTGCACACTGACACCCGGCCGCGGCGAGGCCCAGGGGTAGTGGGGGGTGGGGGGAAGAGAAATTGGAAAATGAGGGAAAATGGAACGTGGGAATGGATAACGGAGATGAATGAGCAAGAGGAAGAGAGGGGACCAAAGAGCAAGTCGGATTCTCTTCCGCGCTTCCAACTCCAGTTAAACAGGAAGAAAGAAAGAAAAAAGAGTCCGTCAGGATGCAATGTATCCGTACCGATTCAGCATCCAGGAACAAGACGCAGACGGACCAAATAGACGAGCGACTTGCCGCCTTCTTTGGTCCTGGGACATTACTTCTCAGTATTTCTCAGTGCTCACACACACTCTCTATCTCTCTCTCTCTCCCCCCCCCCTCCCACTCTCTCTCTCTGGCGCGACTAGAAAGCCACATACGGAGAGCAATGACGATGTGAGAGACAAAGAGAATCAGACTCGGACGTTGCACTAGCTCTTGCGTCGCGTCTGCTTCTTTTCCTTGGCCGGGTTCTTCGTCTTCGTCTACCCGCCACACGCACACATGGGGCGGGAATCATCAAGAAAATAGAAAATAGAAAAAAAAAAACAGAATAAGCAAAATGAGGGGACAAACTCACACACACACCACACAAACACCCACGCTGACCAGACGTAACTGGCTGCTGGAGCTTGCTACGGAACCCAACGGGGTCCACCACAGGTTCGTTTGGCCGCCTTGTACCTTGCAGCAGCACCTTGCGTCGCTCGCTCGCTCGCCGTACGGAGGAGTGGGCGACCAGGTAGGTACTTTGGTTGTCTGCAGGTACCACGTCGCAGTCGCTGCCGTCGCAATAACAGGGCGCCCAAGTGTCTCCCGTCCTTGGTCCGTTGCCAATGGAACCAAAGAAAGGGCACAGAGCAGTCAGTGTACAGAACCTATCCTGTTCTGACTGGGCGGCGGTCCTGGCGCTCCCGGCTTCGGTGACGGGAAGGGAAGGGAAGCACTGGACGCTAGTTGGATGCTGCTTACTGGCGGCTGTTAGTTGCTGAATGCTTCTTGGCCTGCTTGCCTCGTCGTCGGCGCGCTCTCGTTTTCTGCCAGTTGTAGTGTGGTGCGCTGCTGCTAGCTAACAACGTGCTAACCAATGCTGATGAGCTAGCACACAAATCCGCGAAGGTTTGTACTCCCGCCCGGCGCCGCGTCTCAAGTCGTCCCAGCTTGACAAGACTAGACACCAAGATGGGGTAGCTTCGCAGAGCTAGACCTCGGGCTATCTGATAAGCAAAAGTGCACGAGAACGGGAGCTCGTGTATGCCGGCACTGTCGCTTTGCTATTCCGTATGCCTCTTGATTATCGCGCAGTAACAACTCGGAGTTTGAGAGAGGTCTTTGGCGGCAAACAACCCAGACTCGGGAATGAGGCCAGCCAGCAAGCGAGTACTCCGTAAGCAAGGCAAGACAGCGCAGGGCAGACACCGTCGACAGGCCTATTGGGTATCCGCAACGGCAGGGGAAACCCGTTTGGACGGTACCAACGTTCCCCGGCCAGGGCAATGAAGGTAATCGCAAGGGCAATGCCTTTCTCTGGTCTCCAATTGGCCCGTGTCGTTCGTCTACTGTTGTGTGGGATTGTTGTTTGTGACCCCCCGACAAGGTGATCCACGTCGGAGGCTTCACCTCTGCGCCGCGTAGCCTGTGTCGGTGCGCCGTCCGTCTTGCCAATCGCAGTGCCAACCAAGACTAGCCTTCTTCTGCCAGTGTCCGATTCCTCAATAACCCCGATGGATGACGGCACTTTGCACGTATCTGTCTGTGCCTGGCGTTCGTTGGATTTGCTTGGTTTGTGGTGGTGGTGTTTGTGCCTGTGTCGTCAAAGCTCCCGCTTGTTTCCTAAGCGGACTCGTCACTATTACTCCACGAATTTCCTCTTCAGCTTGCTAGCTCCGGCCTGACAGGAGCCACTAGGCCGGCAAGACTGGGGTTTGCTGAGAGCAAAAACCACCAAGCCAGAACTCGAGCAGCTCGAAACTTGGTTTGTTGGTCGACTGTCGCCGACGATGGCGTCAATGTCAAGGACGTAATAGATGGTTTCCCTGCTCTTTTTTCTCACGCTGACCACTCGGCGGCAATCCAGCAGCTGTTGAAGAACGAGTGTGGCTGCTCAAGTGGGCTTTTCCCACCCACCAACTTCCAAGGGGACGAGGCCAGCAAACGCCTCGCTCAGCCCCCGATCCAGCTCGTCGGGACGCCCGGTGCTGTAATTCTCCAACCCAAGCCCACTCAATCGTGTTTCTTTTCCCAGAGCTTCTTTGTTCGTGGGGCACTTGCTGCACTGGGCCCAACTCTGGCCCTGCCGTTCTTTTGTTCCAATGTCTCTGTCTCAAACTTCGGCTCTGTGCCGTCGGGTCTGCCTCTTTCGCACTTGAGACTCGAGGACGGACTAGTCCAAGGCTTGACAGACAAATGGGAAAGCAGGTCCGACAATAACAGAGTCGGCCGGTCTGTGAAGTCAGCGGCCCTGGTTGGTTTGTTGCTTGTCCTTTGCCGTTGACCCTTGCTGCGGTAAGCCAAGGATCTGAGAGACGCCTGCAAGTGCAAAACCCCTTACTGCGAGGAGCAGGACGGTGAAGGGGCTCAAGGGAGGGCACCAGTAACCAGGCCCCCGGTAGAGTGCAGTCAATCTATCGTATCCGTACGGTCGGCAGAAGACTGTACGTAGTAAGCTGAATGAGGGCGTGAACCTTGAATTTTCAAGTCAAGGTGATTTCTGACCGGCGAGGACGTGCAGGCCTTCGGTGACCAGCAGGACGAGAAAAAAGACGCTGGCCCCTGTTTTTTGACGTTTGGGTGCTTTGTGTCGACTGTTGATCCTCTTGGTAATGGAGTGGACCGGGCCGCGCTGATTTCGGGTAGGTAATGGAGACTTGCTGGATAATCGCTCCTCTTTGTTCCAGTGTGTGCCCTTAGTCAGGCTGTATCTGGTAATCACGTATCCGTACTCCGTACAAGTAGAGTACGCAAGAACGGTACTTGGTAGGTATCAAAATCGTGGTGGCCACAGTTTGCGTCACCAGAATATGGCTATTGCTGCCCGCTCCGCCGAGGATTCGGCGATTTGGCCCAAATATCTCGACAGTGTCCCGGCCGGAAAGAGGATACCTCGTCCTGTTGGAGGAGCTCGCCGGAGCTTGCCCCGTCCTTCTAGAAGCTGAACCAGGTTCTTTCTGAAATCTTGAGACGGCGGGATACCGGCCGCTTGTTCCCCGGTGGGGACGGGACTGGGGTCGCTGGAATGACGGATAACTGACAGGCCCTGGTTGGCTGGCTTGGATTTGCGCTTGAGTTAGATGGGAAATCGGCCGAGCTGAACAAGAGTCGTGTTTGCCTCGTTGTCGCCTTGGCCCAAGGACCAACGCAGTGGCCGTTATTGAAAGAGAGGGCCAATGGCCGCTGAAAGACGCGATAGGACAGTGCTGGTGGAATTAGATATTGTGTCGCCTCGTTTCCGTCCGTTTGTTGTCAAGCATCCGGCCGGTCTTTCTTCGCGGTAAATACAGCAGAGGGTGCCCGTACGGTCAAGGTCCGGGCCCTTGTCTGAGAGACTGTGATGAGCCGGATCCCTTGTTTGGTGTTCCGTCGCTTCGCCCCGTCTCGCCTCGTCTCGGTTCCCGCATACAAATGGCACCGAGGGGATAGATGGATCAAATTTCACCGCGGCGCCTTGTCGGCGACGGCCTGTGTTGGTTACGTA